AGCCTTTCAGTTCACCTTTTATGTAAAAACTGTAATCTGCTAACTTGGCGCCAGAACCACAGAGTGTGAGATTTTTATGAGACTCCTCAGTTATAAAATATTTATTTGTAAAAAGCAGGTGAAATGTGTGTTTTAAGGCACATACCTAAACCCCTCATTATGGATCAATTTTAGGTTTAAGCAAATATTTGCCAAGAAGTGCTGCTTGGTACTGAAAGCTGATTTTCCAACAAATATTGTTTTATAAACTCTCCCTTTCCCATCAGGATACCCTATGTAGTAAGAGAGGCTGAGACATAAGCCCTTGTATCAGAGGCTTGGTATGAGGCAGGACCTGCTCACAGAATCTGAAAAGAACAGGGCTGATATTGCAGAAATACCCATTCCTAAAATGTGCTAGTCACAGAGTACTCACGCAAACATAATCCTGAATCAAGTGGTACCAGAACATCCCGATATCAAGGATGGTACAAAAACATCCCCCAAGGATAACAGGAACACACTGACCCCTCCTAAAAGATAAAGTCAGGATGACCATACGTAATAGAGAAGTTTTGATCCAACCAACATGTACAAGGTGATGGGTGATAACTAATCACATCAGGGGGCAGTAACTATTATGTCAGAGGGGCAGTACTAACTTGTTTGTTTTGGAGTATAAAGATGTATCTCAGAGGGATTATCTTTGTCTAGCCTAGGAAGGAACGGAGAGGTCCACCGTTCACTGAGCTGGTCCATTGTAATGGCCATACATGTGTTAGTGGTTTGGTAGAGTCTGCAGGATACTAATACCATGTTCTGTCGACAACAAACCTGGCTTGGTGCCTTCGTTCCTTAATGGATCTTGTGGTCGTTGGGCAGTTTGCTAGAGGTCTCCCATGCCAGCTATCTGCGCAGGGCTGGGGCTGCACACAGAGGGAACACACACATGCAGCCAAACATCTATCAACATCTAACCTAGTGTTCAGAATCTCTGCATCTCTGGTCATCACAAAATCTATTCGCTCATCTGTATCAAGAGGATGATAATGACAAAACTAAGGACATTTTACTTACCTGTCAAAAAAATAATTTGCCTCACCTGAGGACCTTTCCGCTCCTCCCTAGACTAGAATTTTGCAAGGCTATCCTACTCAGTTTTAAAAATGTATTAATATTAATTCAGTGCTGCTGGTGAGTATGGTCAGGCATTTAATAATGAGTGTACTTTGCACTACTATAGAAACTTCCATTCAAGGATATCAATGTGCTTCACAAATATAATTTAAGACATATAGTACTCTTGGGAGGTAGGTTGGTATCATTATCCCCATTTTACAACTGAGGAAACTGAAGCAGGTTACTCAGGAATTCCACAGCAGAGCCAGGAATGGAGCTCACGTCTCCCAACTCCAGACAGATTTAAATTTGACATGCTCTGCATTTAAAATCATTGAACTCATTGGAAGTTAAGAGCTGAAACACCTTTGTGAATCTGGGCCTTTGATCTTAGCTTTTAGTATTTGTCCATTCCACCATGGCTGTCGAAAGTGTTTTCATTTTCCAAATATCTAAATTGCTTCTGACATTATTGGTCCAACTTCTGCCTCATGACACACAGATGTCCTCATTAAATAACGCAGGTGAACATGATGCTGATCGCAACTTTTACCGGGCCTCGGAGATTTCTTACCTGCCAACTGTCCCTAACAGAGAGACAATCCTATCAGATTTCCAATCCCTCCAATGAAATGCCAATGGTGTTAAAATGTCTACCCTATTCCTCTCTCCAACAGACAGCTTTCAAACATTGTCAGCTGTAATATGTCCAGCCACTAAATAGAGCCATCATGATTAGCAGGTAGAGCAGGTTTCACTGCACTGTATGTTATCTGCATTGCCTTACAACAAATTCTTACTGAACGAAATGAAAAAATCCACAAAGTAGCATCTGGTTAATTGTGTGTTATTGCTGAGGTGGGAGTTGTCTGTGGTACATGCACTGCTAGGCAAGCTGGCCACCTCCTTTCCCTCTCTATTACTCAGAGCTCCCAAGCAACCTGAACCCTCCAAATCTGGAATTTTTGAAAAGAGCAAGAGCATCATTGTTTTCTCTGCTTCAAAAAAAAAATGAGTTGTGGCCAGATCCTTACACAGTCGGCTGGTCTTCTGCCCGTTGCCTGAGGCCAGATCCTCTCTAGGTATTTCTACCATGCTCATCACCGCGCCCTCTGAGCGCCATCCCAAACAGCATGACACGAAGCAGCTCACAACTGTCCATCATGTTCAGTGCGGAGGTCTGCCCCTTGTGAGAGGGCAGCTTCAGCAAGCTATGCTTCTTCCTGGCCCAAGCCACCAGCCCCCAGGGACTGCAGCACACCCAGAGGGAACTGAAACCAGAGAGATCAGGATGGAACATCCCCTCCTGGATCCCGACCTCTCCATGAACAACACAGCAACGTGGGCCCTCTCGGGACACTGGGGGTGCCACCTCTGAGGTGTAAAAATCAGCACATCAGAACCACATCATCCAAGAGAGTGGCTTCAAACAAGGGGCAATCCTGGGAAAACCTGGGCAGGTGGCAACTCGCTCCCCCGGGGCCCCCTCCACGCCGCTCACCTGGCCTGCCTAGGCGCTCCCCACCCACAGCGCCCTCCCCCCCCGCTCACGGGGGCGCTCCCCACAGCTCCCCACCCACAGCCTCCTCCCCCCCACACTCACAGGGGCGCTCCCCACCCCGAGCCCCCTCCCCCCCCGCCCGGGGCCCCCCACCCACAGCGCCCCCCCCGCTCACGGGGGCGCTCCCCACACTCCCCACCCCGAGCCCCCCCCCCGCTCACGGGGGCGCTCCCCACCCACAGCGCCCTCCCCCCCGCTCACGGGGGCGCTCCCCACAGCTCCCCACCCACAGCCTCCTCCCCCCCCGCTCACAGGGGCGCTCCCCACCCACAGCCCCCTCCCCCCCCGCTCACGGGGGCGCTCCCCACCCACAGCCTCCCCCCCCACTCACGGGGCGCCCCACCCACAGCCCCCCCCCCCGCTCACGGGGGCCCTCCCCACCCACAGCCTCCCCCCCCCGCTCACAGGGGCGCTCCCCACCCACAGCCCCCTCCCCCCCGGCTCACGGGGCGCTCCCCACCCACAGCCCCCGCTCACGGGGGCGCTCCCCACCCACAGCCCCCTCCCCCCCCGGCTCACGGGGGCGCTCCCCACCCACAGCCCCCTCCCCCCCGGCTCACGGGGGCGCTCCCCACCCCACAGCGCCCCCCCCCTCCGGGGCGCTCCCCACCCCACCCCGCCCCCTCCCCCCGCTCACGGGGGCGCTCCCCACCCACAGCCCCCTCCCCCCCGCTCACGGGGGCGCTCCCCACCCCCCACCCACACCCCCCCCCCACACTCACGGCCTCCCCACCCACACCTCCCTCCCCCCCCCTCACAGGGCCCCCCACCCACCCCCCTCCCCCCCTCCCGGGGCCTCCCCACGCTCCCCACCCACGCCTCCCCCCCCACTCCCACCCCACACCCCCTCCCCCCCTCACGGGGCCTCCCCACCCCGACCCCCTCCCCCCCTCACGCCCCCCACCCCCCCCTCCCCCCCGGCTCACGGGGGCGCTCCCCACCCACAGCCCCTGCATAGCAGGCCCTGCAGGCCCTGCATAGCAACCGTCGCTAGAGACGCTGAGGGCAGGGTGGGCTAAGTCACGTACTGCGCCTGCGCGAGGAGGAGGGACGGGGTTGTGCACATGCGCCGTGGTGAAGCGCGAGGCTCCACCCCCCGGGTGCGGGCATCATGGCGGAGGACGCTTGCCCCGGGCAGGAGCCAGAAGTGCTGCGACTGAAGCGCCTGCGCGGTGGGGGCTTCTTCCCGGTGCCCCCTGGGGACAGGGTGAGCGGGGTGCCGAGTCCGAGCGGGAAAGGGTTAAGGCAGCGCCCCCTATGGAGCCGGGGGGGAAGAAGGGGGGGTGGGGTGACCGGGGGTGCAGGGTAGGAGGGAGGGGCGGGGTGACTGGGGGGAAAGGTGGGGCGGGGTGACTGGGGGTGCAGGGAAGGAGGGAGGGGTGACCGGGGGAAGGAGGGAGGGGCGGGGTGACTGGGGTTGCGGGGAAGGAGGGAGGGGTGGGGTGACTGGGGGGGAAAGGTGGGGCGGGGTGACGGGTTGCGGGGAAGGAGGGAGGGGCGGGGTGACTGGGGGGAAAGGTGGGGCGGGGTGACTGGGGGTGCAGGGAAGGAGGGAGGGGCGGGGTGACTGGGGTTGGGGGGAAGGAGGGAGGGGCGGGGTGACTGGGGGAAAGGTGGGGCGGGGTGACGGGTTGCGGGGAAGGAGGGAGGGGTGGGGTGACTGGGGGGAAAGGTGGGGTGGGGTGACTGGGGTTGCGGGGAAGGAGGGAGGGGCGGGGTGACTGGGGGAAAGGTGGGGCGGGGTGACTGGGGGTGCAGGGAAGGAGGGAGGGGCGGGGTGACTGGGGGTCAGGGAAGGAGGGAGGGGCGGGGTGACTGGGGGGAAAGGTGGGGCGGGGTGACTGGGGGTGCAGGGAAGGAGGGAGGGGCGGGGTGACTGGGGTTGCGGGGAAGGAGGGAGGGGCGGGGTGACTGGGGGGAAAGGTGGGGCGGGGTGACTGGGGTTGCGGGGAAGGAGGGAGGGGTGGGGTGACTGGGGGGAAAGGTGGGGTGGGGTGACTGGGGTTGCGGGGAAGGAGGGAGGGGCGGGGTGACTGGGGGAAAGGTGGGGGCGGGGTGACTGGGGGAAGGAGGGAGGGGCGGGGTGACTGGGGTTGCGGGGAAGGAGGGAGGGGTGACCGGGGGAAGGAGGGAGGGGCGGGGTGACTGGGAGGAAAGGTGGGGCGGGGTGACTGGGGGTGCAGGGAAGGAGGGAGGGGTGACTGGGGTTGCGGGGAAGGAGGGAGGGGTGACTGGGGGAAGGAGGGGTAGGGTGACTGGGGGGGAAAGGTGGGGTGGGGTGACTGGGGGTGCAGGGAAGGAGGGAGGGGTGCGTGGGGGAAGAGTGGGGGGATGCCTCCAATCCAGAGCCCAGGGTAGGGTCCAGCGAGCCCTGCTGGGGTCTGGCCATGGGAAAGCCAAGGCCAGGTCCTGGATGTGCAGACAGGTGGACCTGCCCTCCCCACCACACGCCCAGGCTGCTGGAGTGCGCTTTGCGTCTGCAGACCCCCAGGCTGTGGAAAGCGCGGCGGTGATGGTGCCGATCGACAGGCTGACGTCGGCTCGCAAATTCAGTTCCCACGTTTGCACGCGCAGTGGTGGTAACGTGGCGTGGAAATGACAGACGTGTTTGCAAACACAGAGTTGGGAATCTGGCCAGATGTTGGGCACAGCCCAGTGATAGCTGGCGAGGGGCGCCATTGCTCTCGCCCCATTTCACAAAGCAAATCAACAGCAGGTTGCTTTGTGAAGCGTTAGCTAGAATAGTGTCCAAACAGTAATAATCCCATAAGCATTACACTAACTCTTTGCTTATAGCATGATGCCCTGAGCCTTTCTGAAGCTCTTACATTTGCTGTCCAAAGGCTGAAATGCTGTCATATAGCTGTTCTACCCTATAGTGCAGGGGTTCTCAAACTCCATTGCACCACGCCCCCCTTCTGACAAGAAAAATTACTACACTGCCCCAGGAGGGGGGGGACCAAAGCCTGAGCCCACCTAGGCCAGAGGGGGGCCAAAGTCAAAGCCCACAGACTTCAGCCCCAGGTGGGAGGGCCTGTAACCTGAGCCCTGGGCTGAAGCCCAAGCCTGAGCCCTGCCGCCCAGGGCTTAGGCTTCAGCCCTGGGTCCCAGCAAGTCTAACGTTAGCCCTGGTGACCCATTTAAGGAGGTGCTGACCCACAGTTTGAGAACTGCTGCTATAGTTGTTAGACCATGCTCATCACCCTAGTAGCTAAGCGCCTTCCAGCTGTGCATTAAGCAACATAACTCACATCTGTCTTGGTTTCATGCTGGTGATATATAGCTGTGTATCAGTCTAGCAGCAATGACATATTCCAGCTTCTGGAGGGCTCCATTTAAAACTAACTTCACAATGAAAATCATAAGCCCTAATCATTGAACACTGTCCCCAAGACAGCTCTGGCGAGGGGGCTGGCTGGTCTGTGATACGGCTCTCTGTTTTCAGCTGGGAAGGTGTCGGAGTGTGAAGGAGTTTGAGAAGCTGAATCGAATTGGGGAAGGGACCTATGGCATCGTGTGTAAGTGTTATGTGTGCTGCAGGCTTCAGCAGCGGGAGCCGGTTTGCTTCCTGCAGTAGGGGGTGCTGACAGCAACTCCTCACGACCCAAGACAGTGGAAAATACTCAGTGGCACAGGTCCCTCGGCGTAAGGGCAGCCCCAGCACAGGCTGAAGCCCATCTTCCAGGATCTGGTCTGTTCCCCAGTGATGAGCACATCAGTTTGGGGGGGGGGGAAGGGGCTTTCACTGTTTACCTCCCAGTGTTGAGAGGTGATGGTTAACCGTTCACTTGGTGACTGGTGTCAGTGGTGGATCAGGCATTGACTTTGCTGTGAGACATGGCTTCCAGGTACTGACCACATGGTGTGTGTTACTGTTTCAGACCGTGCTCGAGATACCCAGACGGATGAGATTGTGGCACTAAAGAAGGTGCGGATGGACAAGGAGAAAGATGGTAAGGGGAGAGGAGAAGGGGAGTTGCTGTTCCTAGGAAGCTCTGGGGTAAAGCTGAAGTTTTAGGGATGGCGAGGGCTCTCTTAAAACACTTATTCAGAAATGTGGTTAGCCCTGCACAACCACATCAGAGCCTCGAGTCAGGCCAGGGGACTGGAGGGGGAGTTCTAATGCGTGACTCAACAACCACTCTGCAGGAATCCCCATCAGCAGCCTGCGGGAGATCACTCTGCTTCTGAAGCTTCGGCACCCCAATATCGTGGAGTTGAAGGAGGTTGTTGTGGGGAACCATCTGGAGAGGTAATAGTCCCACAGTACTGGCCCTGCACCTGCTGTCCCTTCAGAGGAGGTGGTGGGTCCTGTCTCTCCCACCCCTATATGCCATGTGTCAGTACTGTCCCTGCTCTTGGCAGGAATGGTCGTTGGATGACCCCTGGTGGCGATGGCGTGTGCGCACTGAGGTGGGGGTGGTCAGCACAGTAGAACTGCAGTGAGGTGACTGACTGTGGTATGTGTCTCCTGCAGTATTTTCCTGGTGATGGGTTACTGTGAACAGGATCTCGCCAGCCTTCTTGAGAACATGCAGACGCCCTTTTCTGAGGCTCAGGTACAGGTGGATTGTGCGGGTGCATTACCACTCCTACCTGTAAGAGGGAGCTGTGGCTCTCGCCAGTGCAAGCAGGCTACCAGCATATTCTGCTCAACTTGCAGCCAAGGATGCAGATTCCAGCCCAGAGCATTGAGGCAGCCTGCGTCGATAGTGTTGGTGGAGCTGGTGGTGGGCACTGGAAGACAGATGCCAGTCTGTAAATTGGCTGTCAGTCATCAGGTCACATGATCTGATTTCATCATAACTTGACGACCTCTTTCCCCTGTTTGGCATAGGGTAAAATAATCTAACCCCCTTGGCCCTCTGTGATATGGGGCACTGCCTGCTGCCTGCATTAAATCCTGTAAGCATCACTGCAGTTAGAACACCCCTTTGTTACAGTGTTTTGGGTCTTGGGCTCCAAACTAGGGTGCACGGCTTTGCATTGACCTTGAGCTTCCGCATAAAATGAACCAGGGCATAAGCTGTCAGCAGCTGTTAGTCAGATTGCTTAATGCACGACTGGAAGGCACTGAGATAGTAGAGTGATGGGGACAGGGTAGGAACCAATGCAGATACATGTTAAGTACTAATGTGATGCTGTCTTGCTAATCCTGTCTCCCACCACTCGCAGGTGAAGTGTATCATCTTACAAGTACTCAAGGGCCTTCAGTATCTTCATGAGAACTTCATCATCCATAGGTAAGGGGCAGAGTGAAAGGCACTGTGGGTAAAGGGCTTGTATGGGAGGGCCACTAGGTAATGGACTGGGCATTGGGAGCCAGCTGTGCCACTTGGGCTGTTTTCTTGGCTCTCAGTGGAACAGAGGGAGACCCTCTTAGAGCAGCAGGTACTTTGGGCAGCATGGAATGGCCCTAGGTGAAGCATTGCCCCTAACACAACCATCAGTAACTGGCTTCTTTCTGATGGCAGGGATCTGAAAGTGTCTAATCTGCTCATGACCGATAAAGGCTGCGTGAAGATAGGTAAGCTCCCCTGTCACGTTTGCTAACACAGCTCCAGAGATGCTTCCAGTTTTCTCATTTTGCAATGCAGAGGCAAGGGCAGTAGCTGGCCTGCTTTTTGACCTTGAATCTGTCCTCTCTTGCAGCGGATTTTGGGCTGGCTCGTGCTCACGGTGTGCCACTAAAACCAATGACCCCTAAAGTCGTCACTCTCTGGTGAGTAGGCTCTGCTTAGTCCTGAGTGAGTCACCCTATCATGGACCCCCTCGGAGGCTGTGGGTCAGCCATGCAGTCAATCTGGGACAAGTTTTGGGAGCTCCACCGATTGGTAATTCCTGCATTCATTCCGTTGCACAGGTACCGGGCCCCAGAGCTGCTGCTGGGAACGACGACCCAGACCACGGGCGTAGATATGTGGTAAGGGGATCTCGTATTGGAGAGTAACGCTCTTGCCAGGAATTTGCAATTTGCAGAAGTACCTGGGGGACAGCCAGGGACAGATTGGGGTCAGGGCAACAACTTGGTACTTCAGGAAGCAATGTGCACATCTGTATAAAGATCTCCTACTGAACCAAAGCCAAGATGGGTCGATAGCAACAGGAGGTATCTGCTGCTGGGGGCAAAGGAGGAGGAGTCTGATCCAAGAGATTCATGTGCCTGATTCCTACTAACCTAGGAGGCCTGTTCCCTCCCCAGGGCAGTGGGATGTATCCTCGCGGAATTGCTGGCCCACAAGCCGTTACTCCCAGGCAGCTCGGAGATTCACCAGATTGACCTGATAGTGCAGCTGCTGGGGACACCCAATGAAAACATCTGGCCAGTAAGTGCTCGCTTTGCATCGCCCACCCTGCCACACTCTTCCCTGACTCTTACTTGTGTCTCCCTGTCCCCGCAGGGCTTTTCCAAGCTGTCCCTAGTGAGCCAGTACACCCTGCGGAAGCAGCCTTACAACAACCTCAAGCACAAGTTCCCATGGCTGTCGGAGGCTGGGCTTCGCCTGCTCAACTTCCTCTTCATGTATGACCCCAAGAAGAGGTAAAGAGCCATCTGCAGCCCAGTTCAGGCCATGGAACTGCCAGTGTGATGTGGGGCCCAGGCTTCTCGGTGGGTGGCAGGTGGCTTCCAGGCAGGGCTGTTCCCCTCCAGTGTAAACGGCTGCAGTGTGTGGGGGAGCTGTCAGCTCCCAGGAAGCACTGGGCAATCCCGAGCTGGGGGCTCATTTACATTGTAATCAGCTCCTCCCCTGAGGATAGAGCAGATCACGGCAAACCAGCTGGGCCTAAGGAGCAGTGCCAGTTTCTGCAGTGCTGCCTTGCTCCCAGGGCTGATCCCCGCGCCCCCAGGCGTTGCTGCCCCCTTTACCCTAAGCCTAGGGCGATGTCTGACCGTTCTAGGACAGGATTGCACTGCCCCGGCCAGATGCTGTTGGCAGGCAGGGCCTGCGGGATTCGGCAGCAGGAGCCCAGCGTGGGATGTACTGCGCATTGTCCCTCTGGACAGGAAGTGAACGCAGCAGCGTGGTCACAGCCTTGCTGTGCTGCTCGGGCGCAAGGAAGGTCTCGCTTTTATGCAAAGGTTTCCTGAAGAAGCAGCGGGAGTGTTTGCGGGGGACGATGGACTTTTCCTTTAACCTGCATTTGCCTCCCCAGGGCGACAGCGGGAGACTGTCTGGAGAGTTCCTACTTCAAAGAAAAGCCCTTGCGTAAGTGACTCCACTGTGCTGTTGGGGCCTGCGGGACTCAGCCCTTCCTGAAACTCATTTCCTCTCCCCTTCTCCCCAGCCTGTGAACCGGAGCTCATGCCCACCTTCCCCCACCACCGCAACAAGCGAGCTGCTCCCGTCAGCGCCGGGGCGGAGAGCCAGGGCAAGCGCAGCAAGCCCTGAGGCTGCACGTTCTGCCGGATAAGAACTATCTTCTCTCTCCCCTGGAATCGGACCAGCAGTGACCCAGCCCTACTGCAACACAACAGGGGAGGCATAAGCCTCTCAATTCAGGATGAACTGAGTGCTTAGGAGAGTGCAGGGCAGAAGCCCCTGCCCCAGCTCCGCCAGCGCCTCAGCCCTGACCTGCAGCCTCCCACGCCGCCCTGCTGATGCTCCTCACCAAGAGCACTACGTGCTATTCCAGCCCTTGGGCCTCTCCTGAGCTGAGACGTTCACAGCTGGCAGGGGGTTGTGATGGGGACTGGACAGAACCACAGGTGCCTGGAGGCCAAAGCACTAATGGGCTGCCCCACTTCACTTTCTGCCCCAGGATTCTCAGGTTCCACTGCTTGCAAAAGACGGGAGCCTAGCTCGTGTTGGGAGTGCAGACTGGGAGCCAGTTTTCCCAGTTACTTGTCAGGAGAGGAGCCTTGGTGTACTGGCCCACCTGGGAGAGGCACAGACCCACCTGTGAGTGGGGAAACGGACCTCCCTGTCCACGTGCTGCTCTCGCCCAAGAGGGCGCCTGCTCCCTCCTATGGGCCTCTTCAGTCCCAGGAGTGAGTGAGTTTTTATGTGCAGACTCTCATTCCCAGAGGCTCCACGTGGTGCCATGCATTGGGGTGCTTGTCGCTGCCTGAGTGAGCGTGCGGCCTGCAGCACTCCCAGCCCAGGCCCAGCTCTGCTGCCTCCAAGGCAGCTTGTGGTTCTCCCGTGCCCCACAGGGCTCAGGCCATGCTTCAGAGGACCCAAAGTTCCCACCCCACTCCCAAGAAGCTGGTGGGCTCCACAGTGGTAACAGCCTCAGCCAGTCTGTGTGATTAGCTACTCCCACGTGGATAAATCCTCAAGTTGTGTTCTTCTGGGTAAGGTTTGGATAAAGATGCGGATAAAGGGACCATCCAAAGCAGATGATGGGAAGGCTCTGGGAGCTGAAGGAGGATTTGTAACCAGCTGCTATAGGACCCAAGGCAGACGCAGTACAAGCTCCTCTTGACCTGTCGATATTCTCAGGGTGCCTCCTGCTGGGGGGTTCAGTGCTGGCTAGGAGGACGGTACCCCAAACTTCGACTCAAATGCAGCTGCTGGAGATACGCTCAAGGGTTGTGGATTGTTCTATCACCTTTGCACAAAGAGAGCAGTCAGGGCAAACTTCTTATCTATCCTGCATCCCTCTCCACCCAGTGCCAGTTGCATCCTTCATGGCGCCTGGCCCATCACCAGCCCCTCGGGTTGGATCCTTCTACCAGGCAGAAGCTCCAAGGAAAGGGCAATGTGTAAACACATTCCTATGGGCTGAAAGGAACCTCCAGCCCTGCAGTGTTTGTCTTGACCCCTAGGTGGGCAGCCAGGGGCAAGACGTGCTGGCCAACCCTGAATGGCTGCTGGGTTTGTTACAAGCTGCAGGCCTTGCCCAGCTCACTGTTGATAGAAAAGTCCCTTCGTTCTTTATTCCTCATGGGGGTTCATGTGATCCTGCCTGCAATAAAATATCATGCCAGTGTCAGCTGTAAGGGATAGTCCTGCAGAGCTGCTCTCCGGGCCAGCTAGCTTCTTTACCCCAGGCAGCCGAGCCAGTGCAAGGCAAGAATGGCTGCCCTTTGCGTGGCATCTCCCAGCCAGAGCCCTCGGGGCGTCACAGCTCTCCCGTCACCTAACCCTGCCCAGGGCAGGGAGCGCAGTCCTAGAAACGCAATGTAGTGACCTAGCTCAGAACTCTCCCCCCTCCCCACCGAGCACCCCCGGGGCTGCAGTGAGAAGCATTCCCAGCCCAGCTGCAGGTGAGGGGCATGGCTTGGTGCGCTCCTCTCAGCCAGTGTACTGCAGCAGCAGCATCACTTCCTCCAGTAGCTGTGCCTACCTTGGAATTCCACCCCAGCAGGGGCCTGAGCCAGTCCTGTTTGTCTTGTGCTGAGAGCTCAAGGCTTCTGACTCATTCTCCTGTGACACACTGCACTCTCAGCAGCTTGGGTAGCCACAGCTTCCCCTCTACCCGTCATCACCTGGAGCTTCTTAACAAGATCACCCTCTGTTAATGAGCCGCTGACCTCAGTGAGTTAAGGACATGAAAGTCTGAAGCAAGAGCCGCTGGTAAAGGGCAGGTGGAATTTGTGGGGGCATGGGATGAACTCACGCTGCTCCTGCTCCCACACCCTACCCAGGAGCCAGAATACCAGGCTAGCAAGAAAAACCCTTTATTACATAACTGTGGAGGTGACAGAGAATGTTCTTTCTTTCTTCTGAGGAGAGCAGAAATGAGGTGAGGTTTACCAGTCAGCGCTGAGTTGGGAAGGGGGCCTTACCCAGTCAGAGGGGCTGGGGTACTTGGCCAGTGCAGACTGACAGTGGGCCAGCTGAAAGGCAGGTGTGCCCTGGAAGGTACAGCACCCAGCACTGGATCTGACCCTGGGGTGGGTTTTCGGGGCGGTTCTGTTTCGTGCCTGGCTCCTGGCACTGATTCCAGCCACCTCACACTGAAATGGGGGAGATCCCCAGTGTTCTCAGCTTCCCCTTTCTGAGTTTGAGCTGGGAGTGCTAGCGGTGCTGCTCTAAATAGCATAGCAAGAGGGGGCCTTGCCCGCCCCCAGGCCACAGCAAGAGGCAGCTCCCTTTCTTTTTGGCTTTCCTGGGTCCAACATCCTGCTGCCTTTGTGTTTCCAGCTGGGTTGTGCACACATGGGGAGGGGATAGGCTGTCATTTCCAGGAGCCAGTGCCCATTCCACTTAACCCTTAACGCGGGAGGGAGAAGCTTTTCTCTGCCCCAAAGCACTGACCAGCTTCCCAGGAAAGGTGCAAGCAGTGACCTAGGCAGAGGAGTAGTCCCGAGACATCAGAGCTGAGCCCTGGGGAGATGGTAACTGAATCCCTACAGCTCTGACCAAGGAGCTGGAGCATCAGCCATAGCACAAAGGAACTCCCAATGCACTGCATCCCGTGGGACTAACGGTGTAACCCTTCCTCCAAGCTCCAGCAACCATTGACTCTGGAGAACCCAAAGTGCCACAGCACTCATGAGGAAAGGTATTTGGTGCTAGGGGATACTGCAGTGCAAGAGTCTAGCTTGCTAACTCTCTGAATGCTTTAAACCCACCCTGAGCAGCTGAGCCAGGCAGGATGAGGGAGACACATCACCCAATAAAGGGCAGATGCACACAGCTAAAAGTGTTTGTCATTTCCTTCTGACCCATCAGTCTGGGGCAAAAGCTGCTCTACCTCAAACCCCCAGTGCCAGAAGGGGCCAGGGCCCAGCCTAAACCCACACACTTCTTCCCCTGGGCACCTTTAGTCCCATCCAGAACCTTAAGGCCAGTCAGCCTGAGAAGCAATGGATAGGACCAGCATGAGCTGGGAAACAGCACAAGATCTTCCCCAAAGCCATCTTCTCTCCTGGGGCAGAGCTGTCCACATGGGCCGTGCCACAGAGCACCTGGACGGAGCAGCGTCCTTCCACCAACTCACAGGAATTGCTTGAAAAAGAGCGAGACTCTTGTTTCTCCTTGTCCTTACCTAGGTCCAATATTTCAGGCTGTGCTGAGAAGCCTGTGAGCTAAGAGGCCCCAGCTCCTCTGGCAGAGGGAAGCTAGAGCGGTGACTAAGCAGGGCCAGGAGATCATGCCAGAGACACAGCAGAGGCCAATCCCTGGAATTGGCTCATAGGAGTTGGGAGGGAGAGTAGTAGTGTTGAACGTAGGGCAGGGTTAGTGTAGGCAGCTACAGCAGGGGAGGGTCTGGGGCAAGTCTCTACGGAGCACTGCTCTATCGGGGTGGGGGAAGGAAAGCAGCTCTGCCACCAGAGGTTTCCCCTAGAACAGAACCAGGTGGCATCAGGCAAGTCCTGAAGCTTCTGCCAGAGGTAGGATTTGGTTGGCATATCCCATAGCATTTGCAGGCCCTGGGGAGGCAGCTCGTCCTGTAGCTAGGGCCGAGCCCCAGAGCCTTCATTCAGCAGCATGTCCACCTCGGTCCTCTTTAACCACAGGAGCTTCTGCTTCTCGCTCTGCAGCTCCTCCATGCAGTGGCTACTCCTGCAGGTCTGCATGGCATCGCAGCCGCTGGCATGGAGCAGGCAGCATGTGGCACAGCAGTAGGAAGGGAGAGCACCTCGGATCAGGCATGAATGCAGCTGGTAGCACGGTGACTCCAGCACCTCCCTTTTGCTGCTCTCTAGCCATGGGGCAGCAGGCGGCAGCTCCCATGGGCTCTCTGCAGCCTTTGGCCAGATGCTGGCAGCTCTACAGTCCAAGGGTATAACCTTGCCAGCAGAGCGGGGCATTAGGCAGCTTGCTGCCCCATGTGGCTCGAGCACTGCAGTGTCAGAAGGGGAGCTCAGAGCAGGGTTTGTGCTCTCCACATTCTCAGGAGAGACTGAGTCACTGATCCTGCTAAGCTCCCGTCTTAAGGAGATAAAAGAGAAGGCAGCAGCTTCTGAGTCGGGCCCATTTCTATAAGGCTGCTCCTGGCCGGACTCGCTAGCCCCCCCGTTGTCCCAGATCCTTCCCTCATTTCCCCCGAGATCCTCAGGACAAGGTACTCCAACAGCCTCACTCCACAGGTTGGAGTTCTGTTCCCAGATGGGAGGCCTATGTAGCTCCTGAGAGGACAAACCCCATGGGGATGATTGCAACCTGGCCCCCAAGGGGGCACTGTATAGATTCGCAGCCTCTGGGCTTTTCAGCTCATCCCCATAGAGATCAATGCTTTCAGCACTGCCAGGAGCCGCCTTGGCTCTGGGCTCTCTGCCTTTCGGCCATCTAACAAGCCTCTTCAGCTTCTCCACACAGTCATGCAGGTCCCTGACGCCCCTCCGCACGTGTAGCAGGTCTTCAGCAGACACTGGGCATGGCCCCAGCTGCCGTAGGATCTCCCCCAGGATCTCACACTCCACCCTTGCTGCAAAGAAGCCACAGGCAGCTTGGACAAGCTCAGCTCCCGGGGGTGGGCGGGACACCACGAGGTGATGGTCATCTCTCTTCACATATCCCATCCTGTGGAAGCTCTTTGCGATGTCACTGTCTGACAGCGCCGCCTGCAGGGAGTGCACATACACCCCCGAGAACATCTGTAACAGAAGCACCGCGTTATTTGCTGAGCACACAGCTAGTCGACCCCCAGCCAGTCTAACCAGGTGACCTCGCCACTCCTCCCTCCGCCCCGCAAACGCTGACACAATGAGCAATTAGTCACCCTGTTAGCAATCAGCACCACCAAGCCCATGGCAGCCTGAGCGCACCTTGAATTCTCAGCCCCCGCCCAACAGCCCAAAGCATGGTCACTGCAGGCCACCACTAGCCTCCAGGCTGCCCCTGTGGGGATGGGGCTCCAGGCAGCACAGCCACCAGAGGGTGCCACAACTCCCTGTGGTGCCCCTCCTCACCTTCGTTCACCTTGCTGTCTAACATCAGCTGCGGGTGCCTCAGGACCTGCCCCTGCTGCATCAGGGTTCCTTTGGAGACACGACCCACTGCATCAAGGAACCAGCTAGTCCCAAGTCCTACTCAGCCCTAAGCCCATGGCCCATTTCTGTGGCTTTCCCAATCATGTTGCTAAGATCCTTGAACCCAAGACTGTGCAATAGCCATACAAAGAGTGACATTGCCCAGAGACGAAGTACCTCTGCCCCTTCACATTCTAGCCACTCGGGGCCATATAGGCACAGGCAGGGTTTCCATCATGGTGGAATCCCTTTGTCTAAAGGCCCTACACACCCCTATGCTGCTTCAGCAAGGATCGTTCCTGACTCCTGGTCCTGGGGTTAGACTGCGCCTCTCCCATTGAGGGGGTCTCTTTAACAAATCCCAGATCTGTCTGGGCACAAGTGTAATCATCAGCTACACAAGGGAGGGCCTGAATATTCTATTCCCCTGGGGAATTTGGAGCCCAGGAAATCTGTGCTGAAGTCCCTGGAGTGACCCTCTCTCTCTTCAGTGATTTGCTCGGAATGGCCCCTGCACACTGTTTCAGCAGCTCCCTGTCTCTATCCAGCATGCCCAAGAGACACACCGGTGCAGCCAGGCGGCACCATGACCACACACCAACCCTCACCTTGATTGTGCTGAACTCCTTGCGCCAAGGGAGGAGGTGTAGATGGACAGCTGCCAGCTCAAGGACCTCGAAGGCCCTGGCCAGCCCCCTGAGTGCCAAGGGCAAGTCGTCCCATCCCTGAAGGCTGCTGGCGAGCGTGGCAAAGACGTCGTTCCGCAGGGTGCCGTGCAGCTCCGGATCCTCCAGCAGACGCTGCCACAGCAAATCCCACAGGGCCAGGTCAGTGCAGACCCCAGCGTGGCCCCTTCGGAAATCCCTCTCCAGACACTTCCTGTACTCCTGCTGCACCAGGGCGCTGGAGCCCATCCTGGACCGCAGAGAGGGCAGGGGTGAGCGGCGAAGAGCCCACGAATGGCAGCACCCACCCAGGGCCACCAGAAAGTCCTGGGCAACCCATATAGGGGCAGCTTTGCCCTGCCCTGCCCCGCTCCAAGTCCACCACCAAGAGTCAGGCCAGCTTCCCTCCCCCCTTAGCGATTCCCTCAGACACTGCCAGCCACTCCCCGCGGGGCTGGAGGGACTGCGCTGCCCCACTTCTCAGCAGCCGGTGCCCTGCCTGGGGAAGGGGGCTGGGCGGGCGGGGCCAACCCTTTGCCTCTCCCTCCAGGACTGGCCTGGCCACCCCCAAAGACACCTTTGATACGCAGACATACCCAGCCCCTCCCCCGGTGTAGGGGGCAAAAGGGGGAGGGGCTGAGACACAGAGACCCCTCCCCCATCCTTGAGGGAAGGGGCTGAGAAAGGCCACGCCCCACCCCCTCTGTGGGGGGGGGGGGGCGCGAGGGGAGGCCCCCTCTGTGGGGTGAGGGGGCTGCGAGGCGGAGGCCACGCCCCCTCTGTGGGGTGAGGGGGCTGCGAGGCGGAGGCCACCCCCTCTGTGGGGTGAGGGGGGCTGCGAGGGGGCCACGCCCCTCTGTGGCGCGAGGGGGGCTGCGAGGCGGAGGCCACGCCCCTCTGTGGCGCGAGGGGGGCTGCGAGGCGGAGGCCACGCCCCCTCTGTGGCGCGAGGGGGGCTGCGAGGCGGAGGCCACGCCCCTCTGTGGGGTGAGGGGGGCTGCGAGGCGGAGGCCACGCCCCTCTGTGGGGTGAGGGGGGCTGCGAGGCGGAGGCCACGCCCCCTCTGTGGGGTGAGGGGGGCTGCGAGGCGGGGGCCCCCGGGCTCCACTCACCTGCCGGCCCAAGGTCTCTCCGCTCCTCCGCCGGGCAACAAGTTCCGGTTTCTTCTCGTTCCGCCCCCTGGCCCGCGGAGGTCACGTGCCGAGAGGCGGGGCTTCCCGACGCCCCGCCCACTGGGGGTTTAACCCGCTCCTTGCCGGGCCCAGGCGGGCTGTGTCGCCGGGGGCCCCTGGGCTCGGCATCGGGCGGGGAGCTGCAGGGGGGCCTGGTTCCCCCGTGGGACGCCTGCGGAGCCCAGGGAGGGGGGCTGGGCCTGGCCAGAGACCCCACCCAGGGACCCCTGCCCAGAGCACCCCAGGGCACCCACCCACCTGCCCCCCTCCCACTTGCGGCACCCCGGCAGGACCCCCCACCCCAGGGCACCCCCAGCCCCCCCGGGGCTTCTTCCCACACCCTTGTCCCACCCAGAGGCTTCCGCCCACCTGCCCGCCCCCATCCCACCTGCGGCACCCCCGGCAGGACCCCCCACCCCAGGGCCCCCCCAGTCCCCCCTGGGACTTCTTCCTTGTCCCACCCAGAGGCTTCCGCCCGCCTGCCCGCCCCCATCCCACCTGCGGCACCCCCGGCAGGACCCCCCACCCCAGGGCACCCCCAGCGCCCCCTGGGGCTTCTTCCCACCCACCCCAGAGCCGCCCACCCCAGGGCACCCCCAGGCCTGGAGGCTTTTGCCCAGCCATCTGCCCCCATCCCACCCCAGAACTTGGCTGGGCCAGTGGGAGGGCAAGAAGCCACTAGCCACACTAGTGGTGCCCAGCAGACCAGGATCTCTCCAGGGCACCAGCGCCTTCCCTTGGCCTCCATTCCTGGCCTCCACAGAGGCCTCGCTAGCTACTGCCACCCCCTCGGCCCATGGCCACAGCACAGCTCTGCTGACTGGAAGCCACAGTGCCCCCAAACCCTCCGTGCAATGGCGGTGGTCACAGGTAGTGGGTAAATGCACCCAACACAGGGGAAACCCCCTCCCCACCCAGCCTTGGCCAGGGTCCCAGCTCGAGCCCCTCAGCCTGCTGTGGTGACAGCCCGCCTGTCACTACGGGGGATGCTCCTGGTTCCAACGCTAGATGGTGCCGTGGGGCTAGAACCAGCCCCACTGAGCACAGCACCTGGGTGGGGAGCTGTGACCACTGGAGCAGGGTTATGCCCAGGCTTTGCCCACCAGGCAGGCATCCTATTGGCATCACAGGAGCTGGCTGCAGCTGCCCTTGTCTCTATAGTGAGCTCCTGGGGCGGGGCCAAGCCTGCCACAGTGGGCACTGCCTGAGACCAGTGCTAATGCACCCGCAGTGGGCTGGCCAGCCCACGGAGAGCACAGGCCGCAGGCTGGTTCTGCTGCAGGGCGTGGAGAGGCTGGGGGCAGGAAGGTTAGCTCGGCCTGGCCCTGGGAAGCACACCCACAGTGGAGGGGGTGATGTGGGGGCTGTCCGGCTGCAGGACTGGTAGTGCTAACCTCACAGAAAGACAGACACAAACACACCCCCGCCCCAACTCATGTATTGCGGGGAAGGGATTGGCTGTGGCATGCACCTGCATCAGGCCCTGGTCATGCAGCTGGTCCCCCCAGAGTACCCTGCAGCAGGGGGGCCCACGAGGGAGCAAAGAGCAACAGAGGAGAGGGCTCTCCCCTCCACGGAGCCGGCAGAGGAGCAGAGAGAGCAGAGAGGTCGGCTGGACCATTTTGAACCAGATCCTGAAGCCCACGGGGAGCCCACGGCCGTCTGTGGGCACATGGCTGTGTTGCTCTGTGTGGGAGGAGGTAGCCAGGCCGCGGGGCGGGCAGCACGGCCTGGAGCTGGGGAGCTGACGGGACTCGCATGCAGGCCGCAGCACGTGTGGCCGGCATGACGAGGAGGTGGGAGGGCTGATGGAGAGTTCAGGCTCATGGGGCTGGGCAGGGGAGGAGGGGGAGCTCGGCTCATGGCTGCTCCTCCTGCTCAAGAAGAAGTTGAGGTGAGGGAAGCAGAGAGGAAGCTGGGAGCCTGCTGTATGACACACAGCCAGGGGCAAGGGGGAGGCAGGGGCGAGCCAGAGGAGCGCAATGCCGGGGAGCAGCCTCCCAGAGACGGTAGCTACGAGCAGGGGTGGTGGGAACGGGAGCGAGAGGCAGCCGGGTCTGTGGCTTGAACAGATCAGAGGGCAAAGGAGTCAACAGGATAGTGCGTCTTGGTGTGTAGAGGAACCCACCCTGCCCCGAGTTAGCACCTGCACAATGGCAGCCCCTGGTCCCCGCTGTGCAGCAATGGGGGCATCCCGGAGGACGGGGTGGCCCCGTGTCAGAGGCTGCCCTGCCCAGAGAGTGAGGAGGGAGCCGTGGGCACGCCGGGGAGCTGTCTGTGCAGAGCGGCCCAGAAGAGGAGGTGTCCGACATGCACGAGGAGCCTCAGATCAGAGGTGGCAGCTCCCTGGGGCACTCCCAGAGGGGGAGCTGGATGCAGAGCCCAGGCCGGGAGAGGAGGGAGCAGGCAGTGAGGAGCTGCAGAGAGCAGGAGATGGCATTGTGGACAGGGCGCTGCGCTCGCCCTAGGCACCTCTGTGCTGGCGAGGAACCCACCGAGGCGGGCAGAGGGAGCGAGCTGTGAGGGCCTGGCCGACCTCGCTAGCTAAACGACTGCCAGAGGGGGCAGTGGCCGAGGGGAGGGCTGGCATGGACCACACAGGCCGGAGCAGAGCAGGGAGGAACGGCCCCAGGAGATTGGCAGTTTGGCGGCGTCTCCCAGAGGCAGGGGTGGGAGCCTGGCTGGACTGGCCGAGGCACTCAGCCCTGTGCTGGCATCCAGGGTGGCCCGACAGGGCATTTGTCTCAGGCCCACTGAGTCCGAAGGGACACAATGGGTGAGACAGGAGGCAAAGGAGGGGTGAAAAGAAAAGGAGTACTTGTGGCACCTTAGAGACTAACCAATTTATTTGAGCATGAGCTTTCGTGAGCTACAGCTCACTTCATCAGACACCTGGACGCCTTCTACTTCTGCTTCATCTCGCTGTGCACCATCGGGCTGGGTGACTACGTGCCGGGCGAGCAGCCCGGCCAGAAGCTGCGGGCGCTCTACAAGGTCTCGGTCACTGTGTACCTGCTGCTGGGGCTGATGGCCGTGCTGCTGGTTCTACAGACCTTCCACAAGGCGGCCGACCTGCACGGCCTCACCGACCTCTTCCTGCTGCCGGCCGCTCGCTGCGGCGACCAGGAGCCCATCCTGCAGCCCGAGGGGCCGCCGGAGGAGCCGGCCCAGGGCGAGAAGCCGCCACCTGCCAGCGCCCAGCTCAACACGGGCAGCCGAGCCAACTACGCCTCCATCAGCCGATAGCGTCAGCCCTGCCCGCGGAGGGGGCTGCAGAGGGGGCTGCGTTCCCGGGGCAGCTCCCCGCGGGGACCGTGCCGGCGGCTGACGCGGCTCCTGTCCGCACGTTGCGGGGGGAGCTCGCACAGGGTTTTAATAAGCGCGCCCCCGTTTTCAGGGGCCGTTCGCCAGGTTGAGCTGTAGCTCACGAAAGCTCATGCTCAAATAAATTGGTTAGTCTCTAAGGTGCCACAAGTACTCCTTTTCTTTTTGCGAATACAGACTAACACGGCTGTTCCTCTGAAAGGAGGGGTGGGGGCAGAAGCAGGAGGTGGGGCTAAGTGGGTGGTGGGTGTGGCCGTGGGAGTTGGGGGTGGAGCTGGGTATGCACCTTCCTTACTTATTTCCTTGCCGGGGAGCAGCCACAGCCCGGTTGGTGGCTGGCCCTGCTGTGGCTCTGTTGTTACCTCGCCGGGATGTCTGCCTCGGACAGAGTGGCCGTGGTGCTTGGGGGGGGCTGGCACGGTGGGATCCGGGATAGTGAAATCACTGCTGGAGAGAGGTAGGGGCAGCCGGCGGAGTGGGTGACGATGGGGAGTTGGTTGATTTGTTTTCTAACCACAGCCACATGCAGGCTGGCAGGTGCAGCATGGGCTTCCCCTGGCTGCCATGCTGGGAGCCTCCCCCGGTGTGAGCGAAGACTCACACTAGACCCCAGCTGCTGGGGACCTGACCCACAGCTAGCAGGTGACGCCAGCCCCTGCCTGCTAAGAGCAGTCCCTGGATGGTTGCAGGCACTTTGATCTGGGGCAGCAACAGGGCCAAAATGCTATTGTGTCCTGGCCAGGCAGCGGCCGGCGCTGGGCTTGAGCTGAGCTGAGAGCACCCTGCTGGGTGGGGACCGGGACCTCCCTGTGGGAGAGCCAGGGGAACCCCCTGGGCCTGCCTGCTGCCCCCACAGGCTGCTCAGTCTGTCCCACCCGAGCGAGCAAAGGGCATGGGCCGGCTGGGGCACGCACAGCTCCCAGCTCAGCCACGGCCGTGCAGGAGGGGCGAGTGCCCTGGCAGAGCTGCCTGTGTGAATTCTGCCAGCAATGGCACAATGCTGGGTGCCTTGCCTGCCCTCGGCACTCCTATGCCCTGCACCTGCATGCTGTGCCTCCTCTCTGCCTGGCTGGAGCCTGGCTCTGCCTCTTGCCTGCCTGGCGTCCACGTTCGTGGTCCAGCTGCGGAGTTCTAGGCAGCAGAGCTATGAGGGTCCATCTCGTCCGCCCCCTGGCGCCAGGGGATGGTTCCCAGCCATCTGGTTCTGCTGTTGCGTAGGGTACGGGCCCTGGGAAGCCAGATTAGGGCAGAAATCAGAGCCACTCCCTTTCAGAGGTACCAGCCTGATGCACTGCCTAGATAAACCCTGCTGTACCCCGACAGTCCCAAGTCCCCAGTGCTAACCCCACGGCAGCCTGGCTCTGGTGCCCTTTGCCCCAAATATCTCGGGGACACCAGCACCCTCCAGCCCAGGGTTAGTTTTATGGGTAGAAGGCTCCACTCAGACCCATGGGTGGGAGGCGGCTAGGGCCCAGCGTGGGCAGAGCTGTTTGCTCTGTATCGGGGTGTGATGAAGTGGGACTGTTCTTAATGTTTCCTCTGAATAGTGTGGGGGTGCCTCAGTTTCCCCTATGCAGTTCTTAAGTATCTAGGTGGTGGGATAAGGGTGTATGATCCTTGCAGAGCCCTAGAGGGCAGGTGGGTGCAGGGGTCTGGACACAGAGAATGGCCAACGCCCTGTTTCCTGGCAACTGATGGCCTGGGCCCTTCCCCCTGCAAGGTGAGAGCTAAAGGGTTGGAGAACAAAGGAATCCGGTGACCTCCTGGCCCGGGAAAGGGGAAAGCCCAGAGGAGGAGGGGCTGGAGGGAGTTTCAGTTTGGGGCTGGCTGGGACATGGAGTGAAGGGCAGACGTGGTTGTCTGGCTCACTGCCCCCAAAATGGACCCAGCTGAGGGGTCCTGTTCTCTGTACCTACAAGCTCTGTGTTAGACCATGTTCCTGTCGTTCTGTTTTACTGGCTGGCTGAGAGTCCCGTCTGACTGTGGAGTTGGGGGGCAGGACCCTCTGGCTTCCCCAGGACCCCGCCTGGGCGGACGCGCTGTGGGAAGCGCATGGAGGGGCAGAGGCTGCTGAATGCTCCGAGGTCAGACCCAGAAAGGTGGAAGCTGTGTGAGCTGTGTGTCCTGCAGACAGGCTGCTCCCAGAGAGGAGACTCCCCCAGAGTCCTGGCTGGCTTCCTGGGAAGCAGTTCCAGAGCATGGCCCAGGGACTCCGTGACACGGGGCGATGCCCTGATGAACGTCTCGGCTCTCCCTTCAAACACAGGCTGGAGGCAATGTGATAGGGCATGAATCGGGGAGAGAGAGGACTCTGTGTTTTTCTCCTGGCAGCGCCACGCCCAGCCGAGCACCAGAAGCCTGCGGTGGGGGTTGGCAGGAACGTGGCGCTGGAACAGCCGGGTTTGCACACGTTGCACAGAGCGGTGGTGAAGGAGGCCCCATCCCAGGGGAGATCTGGGGCACCTCCACCTCCGCCCCAAGCGATCCGCCCCGAGCACAGGCCCCGTGACATGGCATTGTGAGCCACAAGGCCACAGCTCGCCCTGGGCCCGGGTGCTGGGCGGGTCACACGAGACCGGGAGAGCAGCTCCCTGGCCAGAGGGGAAGGCGAAGGGTCCTTGCATCACCCCGGCTCACAGGGCCTCCCTGCGCTAGCCCGGAGCACGCAGCAGCTTGCCCACACCCCCGCTCTCCTGTCGTACCGCTCCTGGAGGAGTGCTAATACCCCACCCCAGCTGGGGGACAGAGACTCAAGGGGCCGGGAGCCAGTGGCGGAGTGGGGAACGGGGGCCCGGAGCGTCTCCCTCCCTAGCCCAGGGTGCTCTCCCCGCTTCCGGAGACTCCCTCACTCACCAGCACAAGCTGCGCAGCCACCTCAGGCTTGGTCCCAGGGCGCCCAGCGGGACAAGCCGCGGCCCCGCCCTGCTAATGGAACAATGCTGCTGTCCCGGGCCCAGGAAGCACTGGGCAGAGGCGTTGCGAGCTCCTTTCCAGCTGGCTGCAGGATGCTTCAGGCCGCGTCTCCCCGCCACCCTCTTGCCCGCAGGTTTCCGAGTCGCTGTTGTCTCCCGCGATGGAGCCAGGCTGGAGAAACTGAGAAGCTTTGTGCCGGCGGCAACCCGTGACCGTCTGCACACGCTCGTCGGGGACGTGGGTAAGGCCTGCCCGCAGTTCTGCCAGCGGGATGCCCAGGGACGCTGGCCGAGGAGCTGTGGGGCTGATAACAGCAGTGCCCAGGGGAGACACTCGGTGTCAGGCTGTCCCTCCAGGGAGCCCCTTATTCCAGGGCTTCCTCCCGCTGGAGGAGAGGACAAGAGCCCGAGAGGAGCGTTCAAGCCAGCTGCCCCGTTGCATATTGGTAGCGCCGTGCTAGAAGAGCATGGTGCTGCATCCAGCTCCACTCAGGCTGGTGATGCCCGAGCAAGGTCCAGCTGGCAGGCTGGGCTTCCCCCTGCTCCAGGGCTCCTGGTCAGACTTGCTCCCCAGCGGGCAGGGCACGTCATCCAGACAGAGAGAGACACGTCATCGGCCAGGACCCTCCTGCGTGGAGCCCTCTGCGGCGAGGTCAGGGCTGGGTTGCACCTGCAGGACCTTCTCTTTGCCCCTTGCGATTGCAGGGCTGGGCCCAGCCCAGGGGCACTCGCTCACTCGCTGCTGAAATCCTTCCAGGGTCCGAGGAGGGAGCAGAGGCCACCAAGGGAGCCCTGCTGAAGAGCGTCGGGAAGGTTACGGACGTGGTGTCGTCGCTGGGCTTCAGCTGGTGGCAGGGAGGGCCTCCCCACACTCAGACGCTGCAGGAGCTCCACTGGGTGGGTGTGGGCAGGCAGTGCAGCTGGCTCTGGGGAGGAGGCGACAGCGAGCCTTCAGGGAGGGCCGGTCGGGATGCTGAGGGAGTTAGGCCGGGATCCAGACTCCACTGTGCACTTGTGAAGCTGCAGCCCGGTAGCGCCACCCTGTGCAAGGCCTCAGGCCAGTACCGGCTGGGAGTGCCGTGGAGACAACAGGCTTGGCCCCTGCGGGAGGGAACAGGCCCGGCCCCAGGCTCCATCCCAGAACAGGGCAGTGGACTTGCTTACCCAGAGTGCTGGACTGTCTCCAAAGGGCAGCAGCCAGGCCCCGTTGGCCCAGGGCCTCGTCTCGGGATGCACAGATCAGCAGCCTGCACCGGAGGGATGATGGGGGCAGGAGGGTGGGACGCGGCTGCAGGAAAGAAAACCGTCGTGTCTGCCCCGTGTCCCCCCTCCCAGGTCCTGGAAACGCTGCTGCTGAGCACCTTCACGTCCTGGAAAGCATTCTTCCCTCTGGTCAAGGAGAATCCCAGCGGCTCCTACACCTTCATCACAGGTGAGGGGAGGCCCAGCCCCCGGCGACGGGAGATACCGACCCTCTGCGCCCCTTCCCCTGCTCTGCCAGTGCCCCTCGCCGCTGACTGGGCCAGCAGGGGCTGCCATATGTGCAGCTGTGGGGTGCTGGTAAGTCGGGGCTGCAAGGAGCGTGCAGCTTCAGGCGCCGCTGCCCCTTGCTTGCACCCCTCACCCTATCGCTGCCAACGGGCTCTCTCTGTTTCAGGAGGGGCTGGTGAGCGTCTCCTCATGCCAGGCACCGGGTTCCTGACACTGGGGGCCGCAGGCGCACTGGCCTTCTGCCGGGTGGTCCGGGAGGAGTACCCAGACGTGCCCTGCAAGCTGAACGAGGTCAGTGCCCCCTGGCCGGGGTGGGTGGGGTGGAGGGGCACTCACAGCTCTCCCTGCCCCCTCTCCAGGGCCTGGAGGGGAATGGAGCTTAGCCCAGCGAGTCCTGGCCCCCCACTGACCTGGTTCTAGCCCCTACTGGCTGGCATCTCGTGTAGGTCAGCAAAAGCGCCCAGTGCTGCTGCTCATGGGAGCTGCTGCTTGACAGCCCCTTTGGGCAGCCCAGGCCCCACCATGTGTCTGGCCAGCGCCTGGCTCAGTGTGGTCCGGCTCCAGGATACAAGTAACGGGGTCTCTTGCAGCTGGGGCAGGTTTGTGGGTATTAATGCGGGCGAGGGACTCTGCTCCACCCTCCCCAGGGTGAGGGCGTCCCCTCCTGGCCAGCCGGTGGTGGACGGCCTCGGCCTAACTGCCTCCACTTTCCCCTGCAGGTGAAGATTGACATGGGGGTGGCAACCCCGGAGCATTTGCGCCCCGGCTACGTGAGTCACCTGGAGGTGGGCGAGGCAGTGGCCTCCCTGGTCGAGAAGGGGAGCGTCTCCCACGCGGTGCTGCACGCCAGCTCGCCAGCTGACCTGGAGACCCTGACCCTAGAAGGGAAGATCTGAGGCCTTTGCGAAGCCCTCTTGAGCTGTGCGTGCTCTAAGCGCCCCCTGCTCCCTTGTACAGGGCTCCTGGTACATCTGCCCCGTGTTCCGGTCCCCGGCCGGGATGGGTGGGCTCAGCTGGGAGTCGACTCTGAGCAGCAGCTGCCTTGCACTGCGTCACTCTGCTCTCTGGCTCGCCGCTAGTGAGGGTAGCTGATGCCTCCTTTCCCTGCTGGGGACCCAGGACCCTCTTCTCTCTAAGCCGCTTTCTCTCCTCCCTGGCCCAGCAGAGGAAGGGCCAGGCTAGGCGTGGGCAGAGGGGAGGCACGAGCAGCTACTGTGGCTGGCACCTTCATTCACAAACCCTGGCTGGAATTTGGGCTGGGCACAGAAACGGCTGGTGCAGCAGGCGGTTCTGTGAAGAGCAGCCGTGGCCCCAGCAGAGAGGGAAGCCAGCCCCAAGCACCCTGCTCGCTGTGGGGTCCCCAGCAGCCAAAGGCCAAGCCCCACATTTCAGTTCCTTCTCCAGCCAGCTGTCTGCTCTGTTGAGTCGTGCTCAGCTGGGCAGGTCCGTCCTTCCAGCCAGCGAGTGGCCTGCCCTCCCCAGCCTGCCCTACGTCCCCTCCGCCTCTCAGACGCTGCGATTTTATCAGGCCCCTTCCACGCTGTGAGCTACCGTGCTCGGTGTCCCATCCTTGGAGCAGGGGAGCTCGGGGTGCTCGCAAGACGTGCAGCCCCAGGCCCTGGTGTTGGTTCCCCCATCGTAGCGTAGCTCTGAAAAGTCACGTGCTCCAGTTGGCACCAGGCCTCCTGCCCCAGGGCTGGGCACATTGTCTGCCAACCTCCACCCGGCTCTCTGCTCCTGGAAGATGTGTCTCGTGGTTGCATTGTTTTGCATGTTTAAATAAACGTTATTTGTACAAACACCATCCTGTGTCTCTGCGCCAGCATGAGTCTGCTCCTGCTCGAGAAGCCCCTGCCAGATCTAGCAAAGGGATGCAGCTTGGGCACGGCTGGAGGGGCACCACAGTGCAGGCCCAGAAGAGCAGGGGGTGCTCCAGGCCAGAATGAGGCAGTGCCCTGGCTGTGGTGGGGCCTGGGCTAGCCTGGGGGGCTCTGTGCCTCTATTGAAGGGCTCTGGAAGAATGGCAGGAGGGGCAGCAAACCAGTCCCTGGCCACTCCCCATCCTTAAGGGGGGCTTGTTCTGAATCCTCGCTCACCTTCGCCAGTGCTGGGTGCATGGCGCTCTGCCAGCTCGCTCTACCCACTGAACCTCCGTGCTAAGCCCCTTCCCGCCACACCGAGCAGGGCCGGCAGGGGTGGAAGCATTTCACCACTAGCCCGTGGCCGGCTCCCAGCTGTCAGCTTCACTCCCGCAGCTTAGAGCATGGGGCCAGCGCCAATGCCATGGACAAGCTACGTGAATCCGCCCAGAGAAAGGTCTCCAGCCCCCAGCGCAGCATCTGCCCACGGCGGCTCTAGCATGAGGACACGACCAGCCCATGCGGGTGGCGTTCTGGGAAGGCACATGACCAGCTGCAGAGGCTCTGGTCAGGCTGATGCTATGGAGGCAGAGGGTGTCCACCTGGGGTCACCTGCTGTCCCAATGGCTGTCAACACCCCAACCCCCCAGCCAGCTCCTCAGGCCCCAAGGCAGAGATCCAGCTCTGATAGCTGCTGCCTTCCCAGGCCCAGCATCCCTCCCCTAGCAGTGACCCACCCTCCCATCAGTGGGCCCAGGTACAGGCCTGGCCTTGGCTCTGAGCTGGGCCCCTCCGCCCAGGGTGCAATGCAGGGCAGCCTACATTGCTTTCTCACTCATTTACTTACTGCCTTGGGGCCTTGGACCCTCGGGCCCTGAGAGCGACCAATTCTTGCTGCCCCCTTCCCCTGGACAGGCCCCAAGCGGGCCAAGGCTAGAAGGAAATGCCGTGAGGTGTGGCACAGTCCCCCCAACCTGCAAGGGAGCCCATAGGGTCCCACCATGGGTGGCTGGAGCCATGTGCTCTGCCCCAGCAGCAGCTCCCCAGGGAACTGCACACACACGAGGCCACCCCATCCCTGGCTGGTGGCTCTGACACTGGCATCAGGAGTTCACTAGCCCCAGCCTGCTCCTCACCCCCCTGTTCCTCCCAGACTTCGCTCCCCGCACCAGAGAGGTTGTTCCCACAGCCCGTGGGTGCCAAGCCAGCTGCCCTCGTGCAGGGCCTCTGGAGAAGGGTGCTGGGCCCTCCGCTTGGCTCCATCACTGCCTGCCAGCACCGTCAGGCGACGTCTCCCCAGCACGCAGGCCAGGCCTGGGGAGGTGCCCGTAGCAAGGACAGAGACCCCCGGGGTTCCAGGCTGCCCCCTTCTTCCCGGCCTGGCTTCAGCCAAGGCTCCTGCTCTGGCAGCCTATGCCCCTTAGCTCCGCAGGGTGCTCCTGGCACCCCAGGGCTCATCACAGCAGATGTTCCACAGCTAGGCTGCGGCTGGGAGAATGGCTGCTGCTCGGGGTGGGTGGGTGGCATGGCTTGTGCGGGAGCTGGTGCTGCCCCTTGGGGTGGTTCCCCCCAGGACTCTGAACATAACGACCAGATGGGTCAGACCAAAAGTCCATCTAGCCCAGTATCCTGTCTACTGACAGTGGCCAGTGCCAGGTGCCCCAGAGGGAGTGAACAGACCAGGGAATCACCAAGTGATCCATCCCCTGTCGCCCAGTCCCCGCTTCTGGCCTGGGGACCAGGAGGTTGGTTTGCTTGGTGCAGCAGACCTCAAGCAGCCGCTCGTGAGACCTGCCTGAGCGCACAGAGCATGAAGCGAAGGGCGGGATGGCCCCCTGCTGCTGGGGAGCCTGCGGGATGGGGCCATGCTCCCGCGCCTCCATGGCCATGTGCCTGATGTGGGCTGGCATGCTTACTGGGGCGCTGAGCACTCCTCCGCAGCCCACCCCACTCCGGGAGCCAGGAGCACTGTCAGCGGCATTTTCACGCCTGCCAGGGCACATCAGCGTCAGGCTCCAGCGAAGTCTGGCTGCAGCCCTGAGCTCAGCTCCCCCATCACACTGGCACAGAGTGGGGTCCACACAGCCAGCAGTCCCACACCACAGCACAGCGCTGGCCCAGGCAGCCTGCAGCCCGTCTCCAAGCCCAGCCAATGCTGGATGCTCCAGGGGAAGGAGGGCAGTCCCCGTCCAGCAGCGCTATCCCCCAAAGGCAGGACTTTTCCTTCCTGAGTCCACCTGGCCGCCAGCTTCTTCCACGAGCAGAAGGAGCAAGGCCCCTGCTTTCCCTAGCCTCGCTGACCTCGCCACAGGCACCATGGTGCTCCTGTCAATGGCTAAGCTCAGCTTTGACTTTTGCTAAGCTACTTGCCTCTAACATCCTGCAGCAGCGAGTTCCATGGGTCACATGGAAAAAGATGTCCTTCTATGCTGCACTCCCTGTTCGCATCCCTGAGTTACAGCACAGGGCAACTGAGAGCCCGGCTGGCTGGCTCCTCGCCGGACAGACCCCAGGCCTGTTGCCTTCTCTCCCCACCTCGGCTCTTTGCAGACAAGGCAACCAAAGCCAGGCAGAGGACTCCAGGCGAGGCTATAGAATGCTGCATGATGACACTGTAGCCACCACCCTGTTAGTCTCTAGCCTCTTCCTAGCACAGACCATCAGCCAGCCCCAAGGCTTCGCTGCTCACCATCAGAGACAGGCGGCAGCTTCGCCTCCCCATGCCCAGCCCTGCCACGAGCTCGGTCCTCCCACTGCTGCCAAGACAGGGACGCTCTTGTCCCATCTCTCCCAGGGAGTTCTCAACACACCTCTGCCTGCACCTGGCAAGCGAGCGCCCCCTCCTCTCCCTGGGTCATGCAGCTGCAGGCATCTCTTCCGCCACCCAGGGCAGCTGCTAAAGGGAACGGGGTACCAGCCTGAGTGCCCAGAGCCTGCCACGTCCTCTTGCTACAGGACCACGAGCTTCCACAACTGCCCCACCAACACCACAGCTAAAGGGGGACAGGGGCTTTAGCTTCCCAGGCCCACTCCATCCTTTGCTTCTCCAGGGCAGCTCCCAAGGGTCAGTCAGGATGGAGCTGGGGCTGCAGTTCCCTCCTCGCTTCTGATTTCACGCCCTGGAACCCAGGCGAGAGGAACCAGCCCAGACACACCAGGGGGGAGCAGCCACATTTATTACGCTACAATCCCTCCACCGCAGGAAGATGCTACAGTAAAACAAAGCAGCCTTGAAAGAGAGAGAGAGTGGAGCAGTGAATGGCAGGGACAGAAAACACCCTGCTGCACACACAGCCTAGCCCCCAACCAGCCACCTGCTCAGCCTTCAATGGCTAGAGCAGGTGGCTTCGAAACAGAAGAAATCTCTTGCGGCAGCCCAAACACCATGCTGGGTGGAGGTTCCCCCTGCATGCAAGAGGGCATCAGGCAGCTCCCATTGTTTCCTGCCTTCCCACATAAGGAAGCTGCCAGAGGAGCACAGGTCAGCCATTGCTCCAGCTGAGCATGGTGCAAAGGCCCCAGCTGACTGAGCATGGCCCCAGCTCTCCCCACACCCAAGAAGCCCAGGGCTCTATGAAGGGAAACAGCTGCGCCAGTCCTACCAGCCAGCCCAGTGATTGGAACAAGATGGCTCCCAAGACACACTTGGGGGGGGGAGATGATCATAGCTCAGACGCTCTCATGTGAGCACCTGGGAGTCCAGGCCCCAGGAGCTGCGGAGGGGATTCCTGGAGTGAAGCAGATGGGCCCCCGCTGGGGTAACTGGACCCACATGGTGAGCTCAGCTGTGACAAGTGCACGAGTTCTAAGCTCTCACAATCACCTAGAACAGGTGGAGGTGGGAAAAGGCGCAATGGGAGACAGAAGGGCCGAGTCAGTCTAACCAAGAGGCCTATTGCTGTAACTCAAGGATCATGTTAAGATCATGCCTGGTGAACGAGACACGTGGAACCAGAAATCAGGGAACCAAAATTGGTGTGTAGGAAACTCGGCCCAACTGGCAGACAGAATAATGAGGGGATGGGCTATGCTGTCCACCACCTCCTGGGGCTCCTTAAAGAGACATTGGGGAGAAAAATTAGCAACCTAAACGAGCTTCACCATCACGGCTGCCACCCCGTCTCCTGGGATCCCGGGCATTTGTCAAACTAATCCAGAGAGACACCCTGACCAGGCCAGGCCAGAGACAGGGACCCAGATAACGTCAAAGCCTGGGCCAGGTCAACCCCCACCTGGGACGTGAGCATTCATCTCCTGCCCACCCCCGCCCACTGGGGTCCTTTTGCTTCCCCACCTTATTTCTTCTCTTTCCTCTCTCTCCTTTCCCCTCAGCCTGGCTTAGCTGACCCAGACTGTATATTCTGCCACACCACTGGGAGCCCAGAGGCAGCTACAAGCAGTGCCCCGCCCAGCCTGATGCTGGAACGAGTTTGCCGGAGCTGAGCAGCCTGTGTGCCATGCCAATGTGTTCCCACCAGTGAGGTTATCAGAAGTCAGCACAGAAGACAGAAGTTGCATTGTCTCTTTGCTGTTCCTTCCCCTTCCCTTGTGCGTGCTCGTCTGGTCTTGTCTCCTTAAGAAACAGAACAGGAACAGCTGCAAGGACAGCTGCACCCAGCTCAGCTCACTCCTTTCCCCAGCTCTGGCAGCTAAAAGCTCTCCAGGGACAGCAAACAGGGGATATTGTTAACACTTTCCAGGGCAAGGCTTTATCTGCTTTTCCTTGTCTTGTCTCTGTAACACAAGGTCAGAAGGATTTTCAGTGGTGTTTGCCATGGTGTGAAGCAGGCCAAGGTCTCCATATACCAGGGGTGGACAAACTTTTTGGCCCAAGGGCCACATCTGGGTATGGAAATTGTATGGCGGGCCATGAATGCTCACAAAATTGGGGGTTGGGTGCAGGATCCAGCTGGGGGTGTGGGTGCTGGGGTAGGGCCAGAAATGAGTTTGGGGTGCAGGAGGGGGCTCCAGGCTGGGACAGGGGGTTGGGTCACGGAAGGGGGTCAAGGGTGCAGGCTGTGGGTGGCGCTTACCTCAAGCAGCTCCCAGAAGCAGTGTCATGTCCCCCCTCCGGCTCCTATGTAGAGGCGCAGCCAGGCGGTGCCACCACCCTGCCTCCAATCTCCCTGAAGGGGAGCCAGAAGGGGGCTGGCATGGCACGGACCGTCCGACATTGCTCCTGGGTGACACACCAGGTTCTCCACTCACCTCCCCATTCACAGGCACCATGGCCAGCTCAGCCGCCCGCCTCAGGGAGGATCTCAAGTAACTCCAGAAAATCCAGTAGCTTTTCATCAGCAGGGATTTTGCCCTGTGATCAGTAGCATTTAAAGCTCCAGCCAAAACGAGCCCAGCATCTGAGGCAGGGGAAATCGCTGCCCTGCAGCCCTAGCTCTCCATGGACACAGCACTCCCCAGCCTGGGGGGTAGCGGTGCCATATCCCTGCCCCTCAAGCCGCTGACTGGTCAGAACTGAGCAGCCGTGCACGGAGAACACACACAGGGGTTCTGCCCAACTCTCCTCTAGGGGCTGGAACATGCTGCCCCCCACCCCCGACACACACTAGCCTCAGGCTCCACGGCCGATCGGTGTGCACAGACGCTAGCTCTGCCCTGGCTGGCGCGTCCAGGAGGAATCGGACTCCAGTACGGGCCCCAGAGGGCTCCTCGGGCAGCAGCTGAAACGGGATGGGTGCTGAGCCGTGGGGTGTCACAACCGCTTGCTCGCTCTCTCACACATTAAATACACAGTTCAAACGCGGGTGCAGCCCAGGGGGCGGGTGAGCAGACCCTACCGCTGCAGCTGCGAGGAGCTTGGTGCCGGCACCACGGTGTCAATGTCCCTTAGACTGAGGACGAAACCGCCCAGGCCGGACGCTGCAGCACGCAGGAAGTAGCTGGCTCCAGGCAGCACCCAGGGACCCTGCAGTGGCCGCACAGGGCACGAACAGGCAGAAGGGCAAATTTCGAGCCGAGGGGGTCACAGAGCTGGGACCTGTCCCAGGCCTTCCCTCACCAACAGCCAACACTCACTCTGGCCAGGCAGCTGCTGGAGGCTACAGAACGGGCCAGGTCTGGTGGCCCCCAAGGAGACCCTGTGCTCAGCTCAAAGCCCTCCCTAGATTCAGCAAGGGCAGCTGTCCGGGCCGAGAGCTCCCCACTTGGGGGATGGGACCCTGGGACAGTAACTGCCCCCTGCAGGCCCCCTCCCCGCCCCTGTGCTCTGTGCTCCAGGGGGAGGCTGGAGGAAGCCCTGCACAAAAGCAGCAAAGAGGCTCCTAAAAAGCATCAATACAGGCCCGAGCAGCAGCAGTTACCGGTTGAATCCCATCAGCAGCCCGTGGGCCGTTCTCCTCTCGCTCCGTAGTGGTTACAGTTAGCATGACGGGTGCAGAGCAACCCAAGCAGCAACCCCGGGTCCACTGCCACCCCAAAACATTGCACAGAACATGCCCTGCCCTTCACAGCAGGCAGGACAAGGGGGGTAGGGAAGGGGGGAATGTCTGGTCCTTCCTCTTCAAGTCAGGCCCCTTGGCCCCATGTCGCGTCTCTGGAAGACATGTGTCCGTTGCATCTCCCAGCCGAGGAGGGGTTAGAGTGATCAGGGCAGGGCCCATCTGCTCAGCAGGCGGATGCAAAGCCTCATTACTTCACCAGGACTCCCCCGTGCAAGGACTCCACATAGGACAGAGCACTCTGCAGGGACGTCAGGCAGTAACCCTCCTCGCCGATCAGGTACCTGGCATGGAAACAAGAGAGATCAGGGCACCCCGAAAGCCGCAGGAAGGGATTTCAATCAGTAGCATGACCCACCTTGGAGAGAGCCCCACCCCATCTCCTAGTGGGGCACGCACCACCCCCCTGGTCCTGCAGGCACAGCTCTGACCCCTTTCCACTGCGAGCATTAAGCCTCCACGGCATGCACTCGCCATGCCCCAGAGCGATCACCCCGTCCCACCCATGGGCACAGAGGCAGCAACTTGTCCAAGGCCACCGCAGAGGGTAAGCTCAGCCCTCCTCTCTCTTTCCCAGACCGCTGGCCTCCACACTATCCCGGCGGCAAGTGCTCTGGGTTAACAGCCAAGCAGGGGATACAGCAAATACAGGGTTCTGTTTGAAAAATAAACCCATTTAAAATTAAATCTGAAATTGACAACCTATGTTAAGGCCTCCAGTTATTATCATCTGTTACAATCATTTACATTAAATGGAATATGAAGCAATACGTGTCTGCTGCCCAGTTTTAAAGAAAGTCAAAGCCCTGAACTGGAGGAAGTCCCTGGCTAAGCTCCTGGAGCCTGACTTTGTGGAAGGGCTAAACCAGCTTTTGACAGCAGCAGCTTCTTCTGCAGATGCAGAGAGAATATTGTGTTTATGTCAGTTTATTCAACTCGTTCAGTTCAGTGACTAGCTCATTCAAAGTTAAGAAACCAGCTGGGATTGAAAAAGCAGGAAAGCTTGTTTTCCTCTTCCGTTCTCTGAAAAATAGCAGGTGTGAGAGGATGCGATCTACTAGTTCTATCATCCTAGAAGGAAACAATCTCTTCAGTTTACTAGCTGCAGACAATACTTCCTTTGTGTATCAAATCAGGTAGTGTGAAATGCAAAACATGTTTTGATCAACTTTTCAAATAACTTTTCTTATGTCTCCAGAACGGTTATGGAAGTTCTACTAAATTTTAAAAAATTTAAATGCAGGTTTTGTAATTGGATTTTTAATTGAATTTCTATCCAAACAGAACTGGACACAAATCACAAGTAAAATATTAATCATACAGTAAATCAGAAATGTATCACTCACCATTTCCTAACAATGAAAAATCTCAATGAATGCAAGTTAAGCTACATAAGTGCTTAGATAAATGTTTCTACATACAGTGCATTCTCCTGATTAGCAAAAAGCAGTACCAAATTTAGCGTAAAGGCTATATTTAATTGCAAATCAGCATGTTTCAATGGTTACCAACCAATGAGAATCAACCTTTCTTTAGGAAAATAACTAAAAGTACAGATACAAATCATGATTAAAATCGGTGATTTAAATAAATTCTCCCTGAGAGTAGAGCGCTCCCCACGGAAGGGCCAGGCCTCTTCCCGCCCACAGGGAATCCTGCGAAGTCAGAGGGTTCTCGAAGGATGGGAACCCTGAATCCCAAATGGCTCAGTGGGGGCACATCGCTGGAACACTCCCAAGGAGGCATCTTCAGCCACCTTTGGATGCAGCCCTGCCAGGGGTCAGTGCCCCACATCCTTCCGAGCTGTGTCCTCTGAGCCCACCAATTCCCCCTTCGACTGCCAGGGCCTGCTCTTCCCAACCCCTTCTGCACATGACAAGCCCAACAGCTGCTGCCAAAGGACCGGGGGTACCGGTGAGAGCATCAGAGAGATTAGGGCCCCTCTATTCTGCAGCCCCTTTAATTGCAAGGCCCTGTCCCGAGGAGCCGGTTTGACTGGAGCCAACAGGATCACAAGGATGGCTCAGTAGGAACAGGCAAGAGCTTCTGCCGTGGCGAGGCGGCCTGCCTGGAACCCTGACCGTGCAGAGCCAGAGCCTGCTGGGTTATCGCTCAGTGCCTGGGCAGTGGGACGTGCAAAGGAGTGAGGAGGACACGCTGCATACAGAAATCCCCTGCTCTGCTTTCCCGGGGCCACCAACAGGGTGGTTCCCTCCCTCCCCTGCCATGCCAAGAAAGCCCTGTTAACTCCTTGGGGCCTGGGGTCCCCCTGCCACTCCCCACCAAGGACATGGCCCAATTGGGGCCCTCCGGGATCTCAGCATGCAGGGAACAGAGCTGCAGGGGAGGGATTGAAAATCTGATCTGCAGGTAGAAGGGGGAGGGGGCTTCGCAGGGGTGGCACAGACGGCAGGTCTCAGCCCTGTGAAAGCAGCAGTGCAGAAGGACTCTTCCAGCAGCAGCTCTAGGGCGGGGACCAGCCACCTCCTCTGCTGAGTTCTCTCTCAAATACATCCCAGGCTGCCCCATGTTTGACTCAGCTGCCTGGCCTGTACCATCAGGGCTCAGCTGGGCCCTGCCAGCTGCAGTCGGGCTGCCCACCTTGCCCAGACACTCATGCCTTGCTCAGGCATGTTACACATCAGGGCGCGGCAGCAGACTGCTGGCTCAGCTCAGCCGTGGAAAGCAGGCGTGAACGGGGAGCAGGGGGTGGTTTGCACAGAGTTTGCCATATTTCTACAGGGGTCTCTAAGGCCTCTTGAGTGCGCTTCCTTTGCGACTGGCACGGGGAGGGTCACTGCTCCTCTCTCCTCGCCATGGGGATTCCTGAGGGGACGCGCAGTCGGAGGGAGCCTCACCCACACAAGCAGCTCCCCAAACCACTCAGCGCAGCTGCAAGGTGGCAGGGCAGGTCCGGCCTCCCGGACTTCGGAGACTCCCCTCTTCAGTGGTGCCAGCAGGGGCGGCTCCCAAACTGGAGCAGCGCTGAAGCCTACGTAGGAGGCAGGTCACCACTCTTCTAGGAGGAAGGGGGACCGATGGGCTTAGGGTGTACTTTCTCCAGTACTTACAGGGCTCCCCGCACTACAGGTGGGGAATGGAGGCCCTGAGGGTTATGGCACTCACCCGTGGTCACCTAAGAGTCTGTGGCAGGGGTCAGAACTGCACCCACATCTGCTGAGTCCCAGCCCAGTGCCTTACTCACAAGGGCACCCTAGCTGTGCCCTGGGGCAGGCTCGGCCTAGGGAGCCCGGGCAGCAGAGACGCAGTCTAAGCACTTTGAGGTTCTAGGCACTCAAATCTCAGGCTAAGAAGGAAGTGCAGGGCACTGCAAGGCGAAGGAACACCTGGGTGTTGCAGGACGAGATGCTGTCGAGTACCCAGCACCAGGGGATGCTGTGGGAAAGGAGCCAGAGCCTGGACGGAGCACAAAGCCTGTGCTGGGAGCTGCCACTAAAGAGCCCCTGGCTAGAGCTGGTGCAAAGTTACCCACTGGAAAGTGCCGATTTCATGGAACCAAAACATTCTGCAGGAAATTCCATTCCAACAGCCAGCTTTCCGCGGACGCCATGAAGGCAGCCCACCTGCCCAGCTAGCCAGGCTCCCTCCCTCCCCATGCTCCTGGCTCTGCGGCAGCTCCCCAGGGAGCACAGCATACGGGCCACGGAGCCAGGGACAGAAATCTCTGAAAAGCTCCATTTTGGTTCTTCCAAACCAGACTCTATTTGGATGGGTCCGTCCCGCAGAGAATCTCACACCCAGCACCTCGCTCCAATCTGGAACCAGCACTTTCTCCGAAAAGTGAAATATTCACAGGATGGAAGCTGCGGTTCCAGGACAGCTCTTCCCACAGCAACGTGGGCCCAGCAACGTGGCCCCAGCACCCAGCCCAGTCCCTCTGTCTCAGTTCTCCCTGCAGCTTCACGTTGAAGGGCAGGCGAGAGCTAGATCTGGTCCTGTGTTGTGATGGGTTCTGCCCCCCTGCCGGAGGGAAGCGATTGCGACATAGCTGAACGGCCAGGTCCCTTAGAGCGTAGCTGGAAGGGTGCTCGAGAGGGGTGATAGGCTGTCATCACTGCCCAGGGAGAAGAGGCCACTGGCCCCAAACACACAATATGGCTCTGCTCCCCAATTCTTAGCACCAGGCAGTGGCTGCTGCTGGGGACGGGACACTGGGGGATCCAACGGGTGGTGAAGCCTACAGCAAATCTCCAGGGGATTGCTGGGAATAAGCACCAAGGGAAAGGCAAAGCAGCGCAGGAGAGGGGAATTGTGGGTGGTGCCCTGCTCTGGTTAGTGTCCCGGCTGAAGGAGCAGAGTTGGGGAAGGGCAGGAAGTATCTGCTGCAAGGTTCCCAAAGACCATAACCTTCCCATATCAGCACTCTCCACCCACCGCCGCTCCGGTGCACAGGAAGAGGGCCAGCTCACCCACTCACTGGCCTATCACCTACTGGGATAGGGCACGGAGGAGCCACCTCCAGCCTCTGGCACAGAGCAGCCAGGGCTTTAACTCCCCGGAAACGCAGAGTCGGCTTTATTTAGTCCGGAATGGGTGGCACACAGAGCCAGCAGTGCCAAAGGAACCGAGGCAGCAGGAGGAATTCCCACCCCATCCCCCCTTCCCGTCCCTACCCTTCGTGGATAAACTCCTCCAGCGCCGCACACTCCGCGACCAGCTGCGGGAGGTCGCTCTTCAGCACCACGTAGGACAGGATGGGCAAGAGGTCGTCGGCACCACTGTAGGGGGCACAGGTCGCAGGTCAGCATCAAGTTAGTCTCCCAAAGGAGCTGACACCCCCCCACCCCGGCAGGTCCTTCTCCGGCTGGCGGAGGGTTTGCCACAGTGCCTTTGCCATCGACTGCAGGCGGATCATCAGCGAACAAGGCATTTCCAGGTGAAGCAGGGGGCCTGCTGGGAGCCTGTGTGCTGCAGTTGGTCACCGTCAGGAGAGGGGAGCCTGGCCAAGGGGCAGCAGGACAGGGAAGGTAACTTACCAGCTCTAATGGGTAACAGGATTTTCCCACAGGAGATCCAGACCCAGAGCACTGACTTCAGAAGTGAAGGATGGGAGCAGCGTGGCCCGGCAGAGGCCTGGGTTCTGTGCCGGCCTCTGCCAACATCCCTCTGTGTGACTGCAGGACGTCACCACCTTCTCCGTGCCTCATTTTCCCTATCTGGGGAGACTATTTACCTTCCTCCCAGAGGTGCTGCGAGAGGCGCTGGGTTGCCAAGTGCTTTGCAATCCCCAGGAGGGAGGGGCCAGAGAAGGACAACATGAGATTCAGCCTCCCCAAGCACCAACACTGCCAGCCCGGCTGGAAACCACACCAGCCGGGTTTTCTGTTCCATGTGGCATCGCCAGCAGAGACTCAGAACGCAGGGGCAGAAAGGAGCCCAGCAGAAACCCGAGCAGGCAGGACAGAAGTGTAGGTGCTGGAACGAGGGGGGCGGCTGCACCCCAGGCTTGATGTGGTTTCCATCATATCCAGGGTTTCGTCTGGTTCAATGGCTCTCAGCACCCACACTGTACACACGGTTCCAGCCCCACTGGACAGAGGGGATGCTTGGAGAGCAGAGATCAGCTGGGCCAAAGGGCCCCTTCCCAGTGCAGCCCATACCTGTCACTTTAAAGCAGCAGTCAGTACCCAGGTTAGCGAGGGCTAAGCAGCAAGACCACAAGGGGCGTCCCTGCAGATACTGGGCAGCTGTAATTACGTTGAACCATCGGTTCCTGTCAGGCCGGACAGTGGCTGATCTGTGGTGAATGCCGCAGGTGCAGCTGGCATGCTCGCTAGGTGTGAAGGCCCCGGCTTCGTGAATCACCAGGGCTTGGCCGGCAGCAGTGACACATGCCATGGGTAACTGCCAGCAGACTCCATTCCCTCCCAGCACTCACCGCTCTGCTGTACGCCACCCCGGGACGGTGAGTCAGTGTGACACGGGAACAGGGAACGCTCCTGCTTTCAAACTGCACTTCAAAAACCCCTTTCCACTGGTGCAAAAACTTCAACTGGAGTTAAGTGGCCAAGGGAAAAGGGATGGCTCTGAACTTCGCCCTTTTGTAGAGCGGGAGTGTCTGGGACTGGCCGAAGAGGGGTCACTGCACCTGACTTGGGAGCACGGGTATGGGCAGGGCCTAGGACTAGATGCTGCAGGGCTGGAATGGCACCATGCGGGCGCTCACGGGGCAGCAGGGCAGGACTGAGGGGCGCTGGCCAAGAGGAGAGGGGACCCAGGGCTGGAATGGCAGGAAGTGCTGCCGGCCGGACAAGGGGCTGGGCAGAGCACACCTAGCAAGCGTATGCTGACACCTGCGGCTCTCCCGTTCAGAGACTCTCCGACAAGCACGGACGCCCGCTCTCAGATGCGGACGCCAGCTCTGGGCAGGGATTTGCTCGGCCCCCCAGGCAGCCTTCACTGCCCCTACCCCAAACACGGAGCTGGAAGGGAGCCGAGCCGGGGCAGGGCAGAGCGAGCCCAGGCCTTACCTGCAGCCCTGGGAGTCTTGCGAAGAGCGGGGGGCGAGTGGGGGGGGGGGGGGGGGGGTTTGCAAGCCCCACAGTGAGTCTCCCAGCTCCTAGAGGCTACAGTGCAGGGCCCGGTGGGGAGGGGCAGGAGCAACGCCCAATGTACAGTGCTGGGGGTTCAGGGGGGCAGACATCCCCAGACAACAAGGGATTAATGAACAGCAAAAGCTGATCACCCTGGCTCGGGTCCCTGGGTCCTGCTGGGCACGGGCAGCAATAATCAGGATCGGTCACTGACAAGCCATCCTGGGGAGGAGCCCTGCCAGCTTCCAGCAGGGAGCCCAACAGCCAGAGCCAGCAGGAGACACAGAACAGCCTCCAGGGTCAGAGCCAACACCAGCTAGCTGTGAGGACACGGAGGGCCAGAACCAGGCCGTGGGGGGACACGGAGGGCTGGAACCAGGTGTGACTGTAGCAGAGAGGCCTGGGGGGGGGGGGTGAAACCAGAAGAAAGGCACAGGCAGGGAAAATGAACTCCTTGCCCCACAGCACCGGGCCAGCTCAGCACAGCACGACGATGCACGCAGGCCCCTGAAGGTGCTTCGGGATCATTCGTCTCCTGAGACGACGCAGGAGGATCCCCCAAGAAGCCAGGATGGACAGCAACCACAGGCATAGGGTGGAACATGGGGAACGAGAGGGGCAAGGCAGCTGCCCAGGGCTCCAGCAACCACAGCCCAGCAGAAAGGGTCTCCTGCGGTATCAGCCGCCAGGGTTCTGTACCACGTGAAAGGGGGTGTGGGTGTGGAGGCAGAAGCTGCAACATGAAGCATGAGGGTGCCACCTACCGGCTGCCCTGGGAAAGGATGGAGCACGGCCATGACGGCTTGGATGAGAAGCTTTTGGCCGGCTGGTAGGGTGACCAGATGAAGAGAAGAAAATATCGGGACACACGGGGAAGCAAAACAGAAACAAACACAGCCGGAGTTGACGAAGCCAAAGCCGCAATATCCGACCGTTTTATCGGGACGTCTGGTCACCCTACCAGCTGGGCTCAGGGCGCACACGCCTGGCTGGTTTGTAGAGCTCCCTGCTGCCTCGCCTAGCTGGCCCTGGGCGTTTCCATGTGCAGTCCCCAGCCCAGTGCAGCTGAGAACCAGGCCTGGCCTGTCTCTCACTTCTGCTACTTCCTGAAGAGCTGTGGGGGCAAGCAGGGGAGGCCGCAGGCCCTCAAGTTACAGCGGGTCTCTGCCGTTCGGCCCAGCCTCAGGAGCTCGCGGGGAGGTGTCTGAACATCCGTTTTGTTCATCTCTGTGGGATTGAAAACGAAGCCCAGAGCCCACTGCGCATTTTGCTGACTCGAGGAATTCAGCTTCCAGGTCCCGCAGCCCCGCACAGCAAGGGTTACATTCCAGCCGTCCCCAGGGGCAGAGGTTTAAATGCATCCCGGGGTACCCCACGGCAGGAGACTCTCCCCCTCCCAGCAGCAGTGCCAGGACCCTGCTCTGCTCTGCGGACTCTGCCGAGGGGGACCCTCGCCCCAGAGGGCCCTTGCTCATGTGCAGCACAGGGGGCTGGAAAGCTGGCTTCTCCTCTCCCCACTGAAACTGGAGGGCCAGCTTTTTAAGCACAGGCTGGACAAACACCTGTCTGGGAAGGTTTAGGGACGTGTGGCCCTGCCTCAGCGCGGTAGGCTAGCCTAGATAACCTCTCCAGCTCCCTTCCAGCCCGACGCCTCTCTGCTGGCTGCTCTCACAGCGGGGAGCGGAAAGGGACAGAGCCGTTGCTGGGCAGGGTGGTCTGTGCCACACGCCAGCAGGCTGCCAGCTTTCCGAGGGCAGCACTTCCCGGTGGGCCCACACAACGGTGACAGCCTGGCAAGCGGAGCCGAACAGGAACACGGGCTGGGGATGGCCAGAGGGAGCTGGGGATGGGTGAGGCAGCGCAGAGCAGGACCAGCCAGGCCAAGCCGCAGCAGGGCAGCGGCTGAGAGCGACACTGGCTGGTGCACGTTTTACACGACCAGCAAACTAAGGAGGGAAAACAGCCCAGCAGTAAGTGCAGGGAGTCTCCTCCCCACCTCTGGGTGCTGCAGCGGGTGGGTTCAGCCCCGCACAGCCGGCACCTCAGCCTGGCGTTCCTCGCTCCCCCTCACTTCATGGGGAGAGGTCCCAGTCCAAACTCGGAGCAGAAGCTGCACCTATTCCTGCCTCCCCCCCTCCCCGCCCCTCTCGAACAAGGCAGCCGAGTCACAGCCTGTCTCCCTCCTTCTGCTTCAATGCCTTTGACAGACCTGGCGCCCTCCTCCTCCTGAGAGCTACAACTGGAGTGAGCCGCTGGTCCCCACGTCCGCGCCTTGCTGGGACTCAGATCCCTGCTCTCACTCCCTGTCTCCCGCTGGCTGGCTAAGTCCAAGTGACAGATTCAAAGCTCGCTAATTGCCAGCCCTGGCCCCAGTGAGTCCCTGCCACAGACCGAGCTCCTCGCTCTGCCTGGGATCAGCAGGAGAAGCCGCGTGGGGCGGGAGGCGCTGCCGGAAACTATCCGTCAAGGCCCAGCCCTGCTAAAGCTGCAGCTAGACCACGGACGCCTGGCTGACAGGCAGGATCTGACTTCACACAGAGCAGTCCCGGTGCAGCCCAGAGACAAGACTGAGCCACGGGGAACCTGCCCTCCAACGGGGCAGTGGGCCACAGAATCAGGTTAGCCCGGCAGCAAGGGGGCAGCAACCCCCAGGCCGGCCCAGAAGAGAGTAACACCCCCAAAGCAGCTCACCAACAGCTATCTCCTGCAGGCAGGGGCCTGGGCTCGTCACTTGTTGGAGGAGTGTCTGGTGTGAACCCACCAGGCTCCTCCAGCCCTGGGGGTGCACAGAGCTCTGGGGCTTGGACTGGGCGTGCTCAAGTGTTGCAGCTGCCCCCCAACTCCTCTCCATTGATGCTAGATTCTACTGCCCTGCCGCCCCCCGCCTTCCCCTCCAGCTGGGCTCAATGCCCTACTACCATGCGTCCATCTCTGGTGTGTCCCCCTGGGAGCCAGGCTGTACTCACATGGCTGCGGACCCGGGCTGGGGCCAGCTTTCCCGGGCAGTGCAGTACTCCTCGGCACACTCGCAGATGACACGAAGGGCTCGTACTGCAAGTTGCAAACCACAGAGCTTTAGTGACAACATGCACGGGGGAAGGGGGCAGGGGGGCTGCCTGCATCCAAAGGCCCCCCAGGCTTGTACTGCAGCGGGAAGTGGGGATGGCAAAGCAGCTTCCTTGGGCCATGCTGGGGCCAAGAGCAGACCCTGGGATCCAGGTATCTACCCGCCCTTTGCATTTGCACCAGGGTTCGATCGATCAGCTGCCCACATCTCTTCCCAACCCTGGCGAAGAGAGGACGGCTACTGTATGGGGTCTCGAGAGCCCAAGTCTTCACACACATTGTCTCATGGTAACTTCCCCTCCTGCTCCCCACCGTGCGGGCTGGCCCGGTCGCCATCACAGCTCGTTCCCGGACTCTCCTAAGTACTTCGATGGCACCAGCATCCGAGCACCTGGCAACCTCAAACGGATTTCCCCTCCCCTCCCTGTACCATTACCCCCATGGCAGAGATGTGGAGAATCTGTGGCAGAGCAAGGAACTGAACGCGGGTCTCCTCTCTACCACCCCTGTGGCAACTCCAGCCATTGCTGCCACAGGGGTCACCACTAGGGAAGGAGTCCACGTGTTTCTGGTTTCTTTGAGGGTCGTTTTGCAGACAGAAATGAGGAGCAGCCAATATCGTGTAACCAAACAGCTCTCCGCTCCTCCCAGCGAGCAGCATGAGTCCCACTAGACAGGTGCCCCCGCCTGCACCCCAGAGAAAGAGCGAACCTCACCAATGCACTCCAGCTTCCTCTGCGGGCAGCTCTCCAGAAGGATCAGCCCCAGCTCCTGTACCGCCGTGCTGTAAGGGTAGGAACCTGCGGTGTGGCCCTTGCTGTCCTGGGGGAAGAGGTTAGCGGAGACTCCTATTTCCGAAGGGGGCATGTTCCTGTGGCGCTCCATGCTCCTGGACAGGGCCACCTCCCGGGCCTGGTAGACCCTCCTGCAGGGTGCAGAGCAGAGAGGAGGTGGAGAGCACGGCAGGATGCTCTCTTCCCAGAGTCCTGCTAAATCCCGCCCACGTGCTGGGAACTTCCCGGCCATGGGGCTGGGGAGCCTACGTGTTGGGTTCTTCCTGCCCTACACTAGCCTGGTGCCTCCCCACACCAGCCAGGCCCCACAATGGCACTGCCTTCACTGGGGCCCGCAGCGGAGGCCACACACATGCTGACTGCCCCACTCACACGGGAGCCAGAGATTAACAGGCATGGGCTAGAAAACCAGGCGCATCTGACCTCTGCCCAGCCAAGGGCTGCCCTGGTACCGCTAGGAGCCTGCGGGCTGCTCTGAATTCAGACAGGGAGGGAAGAGACTGCAGCCAACCTGACCCTGGATACAGGCGCAACGCCTGCCAGGAGCACTGGGCCCCGCGCGCCGCGCTCCATGTCGATGCACGGAGATGGGTTCAAACCCCACGGCCGGCCACCTGCTCCCTGCAGCAACGGACGCTGTCCGTGGGAAAGGGATCAGCAGCCCCACCAGAGCCACCACTGGCCTTTCCACGTCTCTGCATGTGGAGCGGCACAAGCCCCGAGTATTCGGTCTGGAGAACTGGACTCTCCCCAGCAGACACCTCACAGGTGGGTAAAGCCTTGGGCCTTGACTCCCACAATGAGCATCCCTTTCCATGCCCCGCACTCTCTGCCATCCCAGTGCCCCAGGCCGGCAGAGCCCTGGGCAAGGCCGGAGAGCAGGGGAGCTGCGGTACCTGTAGAGGGCTAGCAGGGGGGCCCAGAGAGGCGAGAAGAAGGCTTCCTCAATGCGCGCCAGGCACTGGTCCTTGGAGGAGGCGGTGTTCAGGCCCTCAAAAGCCAGCAGGGCCAGGGAGAGCAGCCTGTCTGGGGAGGAAGTGTTACAGGCAGCATGCTGGGTCAGGATCTCCAAGCACTGCTGGGACCCTGGGAAAGGGAGCTCAGGCCGCAGTACGGGGAAAGAGGCTGGCCATGGACCACCAAGCCATCGCTGTCCTGAAGGCGCTGACAGGGCGAGCGAGGCGGGGCCCCCGGCAATGCACGCTGCGTCTGCATGCGTTCGTCACGGAGAAGCAACACCGTGCCACTTGCCCTGCCCAGGATAGATCCAGGAGCCTGCAACAATCCGACCTGGGAAGGGCAGGGGCAGGGGAGCAGGAAGCAAACGCATCAGAGCGGACCAAGGAGGCGGTTTTCTGGCTCCCAGTCCTACCAGCATGACAGCAGCGGCTCCCAGGAGCCCACCACCGCAGGTGCCAGAGATGCTAGGAGAGCCCTGTACAACTGCCTCACTCGCTGAGCCTCCTCCACGCCCTATGTGGAGAAGGGCCGGGCAGCCCATGCCACCCTCTGCGGAGCGTCCGAAGGGGACTCTGTCCAGCTGAGAACCAAGGAGGAGCCCCACAGCGGGGGCACAGGCAGGCCACCCTTGGAGCAGATTTCCAACGTCCTCACCCTCCCGACAGGCTCCAGCCCTGAGCGTGGAGCAGGGCAGAGCGTTGCATGTTGGGACATAGCACAGGCCGTTAGGTCTATGGGCGATGGGCCTGCACTGACCACAAGGGTACACTGACCGGGGCCTGCACTTTGGGCTGTCCTCGTGGCTGTGGCATTACTCTCCCTCCCCCAGGACAAAGCCCTGGGGGGAACAATCCGCACTCCCCTCCTCGGATACCCAGACCCCTCCCACCACTCCCCACACGCCCCTCACCCACTGAGTTGTGAATGTCCTTCACGATGGCTTTCAGCTGCTCCTGCAGAGAGGCCTTCTTCTCAGCTGGGGCCTGGGGCTCCGCTGGGGGGCCAGTGGGCCAGCTCTCGGGCGCTGCCAGGAACCGTTCCAGGTCCTCAAAGGAGCTCTCTCTGTCGGCCAGGCAGGCAGCCGTCCCTTCCTGCAGGCTGCTCTCTGTTGCCAGGTCCTCGCTCAGGGGCGCCGTGGACAGGCTGTGTTGCAAGTTCACCTTGTTCTCCTGGACGGAGGCCATGCAGTACAGACTCTGGGAGGACCTCAGTTTCCGGCCCCCAGGTGCTGGGGTTAACAGTCCCTCAGCATCCAGCGAGAGGGAGGAGAAGCCCCTGGAAGCGGTGCTCAGGTCAGCGAGGTTCTGGCTCACAATGGGGTAGAGCCTGCTGTAGATAGCATGCTGGAGCTTTGTCAACAGCTGGGGAATGGGGTGCTCGGGGAAGCTGGAAGCAAAGGGCAGATGCTCAAGACAGGGAGGGGAGAGGAGCCAGGCCTTACCTGGGGTGCGCTCGAGGCCGTCCCATGGGGATCTGCTGTCGCCTGGGAAGCACCTGGCGGCCAGGACAACGGGAGCTGCTGACCCACATGGCTGGGAGCACAGCCCCATGCCAGGTTCACCGGGAGCCCACCGCGCCTCCCTCCAGGGGCGGAGTTCGGTGGCCAAGCACGCTGCACTCCCAGGCAAGCCCCTCCTGTCACTGTCTGGGCAGCTGCCCCCTCTGCTGGGGCTGGGAGAGCCAAGGAGCAACTCGGCAGGACACAGCACCCAGCCCAGGCATGTTCTGGGCTAGCCGGCACCCCCCAGCACAGAGCCCCCATCACCCTGGCCGGGAGAGGGCAGGGGGCCCTTCGGCCCACATCAGCTCTCCCACTAGCCGCTACCTGAGGAGGTGGGAGATGAGGCCGGACACCAGAGAGAGATCTGTCGGGTTCTTCTTCAGCTTGGCTTTCCAGTGCTTTGGCCACTCCTGGGAGGGGGACAGCAGCAGAGAGCAGCTGAGGCTGCGGCTCCCACCGGGGGAGCCCTGGACAAGGCCACCCAAAAGACAACTGACCCCTCCCACCCAGCAAAGCTCCCAGCGCTCCCCACCCCTCTCAGCAAGGCCACGGCCCCCCCAGCACGCGGCACCTCCTGGTTCCTGAGCCGGCCCTGGCCAGAAAGGCACTGCTGCCCAGACGCAGTCAAACAGCAGGGAGGGCCTGTGCCCTCTCGACTGCTGGAGCCAAGCCGCAGCGCCACTCCTCTCCTGCTGCCACGGCCACGGAGACCAGAACGCCTGCATCGGGGCTGGGCACTTTCTGTAACCCCCACCACAGCCTGGCCTCGCTGGGGCTAGCTCCCAGCTCCCTGTCCCCTTCCGGCAGCCCCCGGCAGACGGCTTGAGAGCCAGCAGGCAAGCAGGCCGGCCTCCCACACTTCAGGGTCCAGCGGCTCCTGGGACAGCGACCGGCCAGAGCCACTTCCCAGGGCCCTGCCGCACCAGTACTCACATGATCCTGCTCGTACTCCAGGATGGCAGCATAGAGCGCCCTCTGCTCCTGCTCCTCGGGGGTGAGGGCGATGTTGCTGGAGAACCTCCTGCCCAAGAGAGACCACATGGCAGGCTGAGAGACCCGCTGCTGCCTTTCCATCTGGAGCCAGGGCTGGGTGCCGCCCAGGTGGGCAGACTGCAGGGTGCCAACTCTAGAAATACCCACAGCAGACACCTCAAGAGCCCAGCCAGCTCCGGCCACGGTGCAGGGACCCATCCAAATTGGAACAGGCGTCTGGAAACAGGGCTGCTCACTCGCGGAGCTGCACCCGAAGGCTGGCCCAAACAGCGCTCTCAGCAAGGAAGGGAAAGGGGCACAGGGAGGTCACAGGTGGCATGTTGCAAGCAGGCCAAAAGTTTGGGAACTGACCTGAACGCCAGCCGGAGCTGAGCACCAGCATACGCTGCCAGGCCAGAGGTATGTTAGCGGCATGGTCACCTACCTTTGAGCTGGGAGGGGGACAGGCACAAGTGGGGGGGGGTGCGGGCACACGCAATAGCATCTCTGACTCTACGTCAGCTCTGCTCGCTCTACGGCACAGGAGCAGCCGGCACTAGCTGGGAACCCGAACGAGGCAGGGCTGGAGACCTCGACTAGAGTGCTGGGAAGGACTCAGAAGGCAGCCCCGCAGACTCTCACCCCTCTCCCAGAGCCCTGCTCCCATTGGAGGGAGCTACGAGATGGGCGAGCACGTGGGGTAATGACATGCAAATGAGCATACCCATAATCCCTCTCTCCAGCACTGCCACAAACAAGTAGCCTTTCCTCCCCGAGTCCCTGGGGCTGGCTGAGGGGAGCCAGAGGGGGGGAGTTCTCCCCAGCAGGGGGGTCATTTAACCAACAGAAGCTTTGCTGTTTCCGTTCCTCACCCACCACAGCTGGGTCTCCCGCCCCGGGAAAGGCCCCTGGACAAGGGGCCCTTCCCCAAACCCCGGCCTTGCTCACCTGTTGGCAGCTTCCTGCAGCCGCAGCCTGCGCTCCTCCATCTTCCTCTGAAGCTGGGGCACAGCCGAGTCAAGGCTCCACAGTTGTGTCTCCACCCACCCGCCCAGCCGCGGCTACGCACAGGGGCAGGGCTAGTCCCGAACCTACCGGCCAGGCGCAGCTTGGCACAGCCAGCTTCAGAGGCACACACCTCTGGCTGGGGGCTCAACAGAGCGCGTGAGCAGAGGCAATCAAAGCAAACGTCACCCCGCAGTCAGTGCCTGGCAGAACCCGGAGCCCCTTGAGGCAGGGCCAGGGGCCCACCAACACCATAGTGCAGCCCTGCATGGAGAGCGGGGAGGCATGGCTGCTTCTCCGTGACCGGGCTGAGAGGGGGCCCCGGGGGAATCCAGCAGCCCTGGCTGGGACACACTGCAGACACCCCTCCTGCTTAACAGCTTGATCCGCCGTTTGCAGAGTCAATCCAATCTCACTATGGCATTAGTGCTGCTGGGTTTACCTCTAAGAGGCGCCATCTCCCAGCCTTTCCCCTGGGAGTCAGACTAGGTGGTGACCCTCTGCGCCAGGAGATGAATTTCTCCTCCCCCTGCCCCCCAGGCAGCAAACGCTCTAGACCTGCTAACCCCACTCTTCCCTGGAAGAGAGCATGAGCCTGTGCCCCTGCCCCTGCCCCCGCTGTTCTGGATAATAAAATAGCACCATGGCTCTGTGCTTGGGGAGCCGTGCTGCTGCCGGGGCAGGATGGGAAAGATACCGTCTCCTCCCGGGCTTTGGCAATCACCAGGTTCTCCATCATCTGCCGCTGAAGGGTCAGCGTCTGCAAGGCAAAGACAGGCCTCACTGGCACTCCCTCAAGCCCGCTGTGACCGCTACCTTGTTGGAACGTCAGCCCTGCGCACGAGTGAAGGGGGATAGAGCATGGGCTGGGCCATCCCTCACATGCAGCGTGCTCAGAAAGGAACTGGCTGCACCCCAGAAATGCCCAAACTTTTGCACATGCTCCCAGAGCCCGATGCAGCTCCCGGATGGCTGGGAGTTGCAGGGCACTCTGGGTAAGGACATGCAAACAAGAGCACCTGGTGGTGGCACTCCTAAAGTACAGGGCCCAGGGCCATGCAGCTGGCTGGGCAGGCCCCTCTTCAGGGCCAAGGGGCTGTGGCAGGGACTTGGAAACCAAGCTCATTTACATGCCACTACCCAGAATGCTCTGAGGCAGCGGCAACTGCAGGCTATTCCAAAGCAGGTGGGGCAGGGAGGGTGGGGGGAATGTCCTCTGGTTTTACCCCCCATTATGTCTGGGCTCCACTGATCCATGATCCCCTTGCAGCCCCCCCCATTTCAGCACTCTGACAGCAGGGCATTGTAGGTGGCAGGGGAACCCCCTGGGCCATCCCCGCACTGGGGAGCCTGGTTTCTTGAAGAAGCAGCCATCCCAGCTGTGCTCTCCAGCAGCTCACACCCACCCTCCCACAGCTAAGACTGACCCAGAGCCATGTTGTTGAATGTGGCTCTCCCGATGCCCCAGCTGGAGAAGCCTGGCTGCCACGCAGCAGGGACTGGTACACCAGAGATCTGGGCCCCAGCACTCTGCTCTCACAGAGCCTCCGGCTGGCGTTTGTACCCATTCCACTTAGGGGAAGCCCCTGGGGAAAGCACAGAGGATGTGCCATGAAAGAACTGCCTGTTCCATGCTTCATGCTGGGAGGCTTCCTGTGGAGCCTGGCTGGGCTCCAGCCTCCCCCACCATTCCTTGCCCGCGCCAGGCGGTCTCCACTTGCCAGGGAAGTCTTCTGCACAGCCTGGCTGGGGTTCAGCCGTGCCACCCGGGCCTCGTAAGCAGCTCTCAGCTTCTGGTTCTGCAGCGATGCCTCCTCCAGCGGGGTGAGCTCCCTGGGAGGACACAAGAGCTGCGAAATTACTTGCCCTGGCCCCGCACTGAGCGTGAGACCTGGATCAGCCCTGCCCAGATCAAGAGACTGCTGCATGAGACAATCCCAGGTCTCTCTTCACCCATGTTCTGACCCAACCTGGACAGGCTCAAAGGCCACACAATTCTTCCCTTCCTCACCTGGCGCAGCAGCACCCTGCACCAGGAACCTCCACGTTCTCTTCCACCAAGGAGGAAACTACTCCCCTGGCAGGAGGGGCTCATGGAACGAAACCCCATCTCCCAAGCCCGCGCCTTAGGTCCTGCCCCTCAGCATCACAGCCGGGCTCCACGCAGGCAGCTGGAATCTGGTGGCTCAGCGTGGGCAGAATGGCATGTACCAAAGAACTCCCCCTGCCAAGCTGCCTCAGGCCTGAATATCTGGGAGCCTTGACCTCTGAGGGGGGCTGCTAGAAAACCAGCACCCAGATCCTCCTTGGAGGCAAGACACAAAACTGGGGGAGCCCAGAGCTCTTTGGGGACATCCCGGGCATGGCCTGGAGGTCTCGGCAGGCAGCATCCAATTCCTTGGCCTCAGGAATGGCTGAGCTATGCAGCCGCCACCTGCTAGCCTGAAGCAGGAACACAAGGAGAAGGAGAGGAGAGGAGAGGAGAGGAGAGGAGGGAACCTCCCTGCTTGGGCCAAGCCAGCACTATGGCACATGGTTACACTGGGAAGAGATGGCTCTTCGCCCACACACAGCCTGCAGCCCCTGGAGGGCTGGGGAGATTCCACGCAACGTTCCCCAGCTCCACCTCACTTACTTTTTAGTGCCCTGAGCTTTGGTGATCTGCAGCTTCTGGAAGATCTCCGGGGGGAGAAAGGGAGACAGCTTCCCCCCCTCATCTGAGAAGACCCTGCGGTGCCTAGAGATGGGAGCAGGGCTGGGGCCTCTCTCGTGGGCTGCTGGCTTCACCTTCCCTGGGGTTGGGGGAAGATGTGGGTCAAAGCAGGTGTTTTGTTTAGAAGTTACTACAAGTAGTGAAGGCTGGCAGGAAAAGCCGGGGCTGCTGAGTGCCTGGGAGCAGCAGGGCCAGGAAAGCCAGCCCCAGCCGCTTTGTGCGCCCAGAGGTCTCCAGAATGGGCACCTGAACAGGACACTGGCAGGGATTTGCTACCCTGCTGCCTCCCGGGTCTCTGGGGTCAGCACCAGAGGCAAGGAAAGCAGGCAATGCTGCATTCCTGCTGGAAGCCAGCACCAGTCTCCCCTCCCTGGGGACTCTGCCTCCAAAGGCTCCCAACTCCTGCTGTGGGGGGAGGGGGGAGAATCAATGAAACCCACCCTCTCCCTCCCGCCACTACAGATCCAGGTCAGCCACCTCCTGCTGCCACTCCCCTGACCTCGGCAGACCTACCCACTCTCCCTGGGGGTGGGGGCCCAGCAGGCTAGCCTGGGCTACCCCATTCACCCTGGGTCAATAGCCCATGTGGTGGCTCTGCAACCACGTGTGTCTGCCGGAGAGAGACTGGCCCCAGCTCCCAGAGGCGACAGGCAGGTGCTTTGTGCCCCAAGCAACCTCCTTCCCCAGAGCTCAGCCCAGCAGGCCATGTCCCGTCTCCGCCCTGAGGCCAGGGGCAACTCACCAAGCACAGCGGTGCTGGACTTGGCTCGCTCCAAGCACTGCTCAGCGAGCTTCAGCATCTTTGGGGTGTCGGGTGTCACGGCATCGCTCCCACCTGGCACAGGCAAGGGGTGGGGTCAGTGGGTTTCCTTTCCCAGACAGGAAGGTGCTGGAGCGAGTTTGACCCACCCAGGCCTCCAACCAGCATCGGCTCTCTTTTCCCCATGGGCTGCTTTGTGTTATAACCAACAGGCAGGGAGAGCTTGTCCTCTGCCCCACCCTCCTTGGCCAGCTGGGACACAGGGCCTGCCGCAAGGGGAAGTGTTCCCTGAGCACTGCAGCCTGCCTGTCTCCAGGGCCTTCTAAGACAAGAGACTTTCCAAGCTGGGACCCTCCACACGACGTGGCGAGGCCTCCAGAGGCCCCCACCAGTGCCACCAAACAGGGCCCCAGAGGATTCTGGGTCCAGCAAACTGCAAGAGGCACCCAGGGAGGCCGCACCCTTTCCTGGCTGCAGAGTGCCCCAGTGCTCTGCTGACAGACTCGGCAGGTATAGTGGAACCTGAGAATTACGAAATGACCGGTCAACCACACCCCTCACTTGGAACTGGACGTATGCAGTCAGATAGCAGAGGCACATAAAAGCAAACACTGTACAGAACAGTATAGTGTTCAACAGAAACTACTAAAAATAAAGGGAAAGTTTAAAAAAAGATTTGACAGGGTAAGGAAACTGTTTCTGTGCTTCTTTCATTTAAAAGCAGCATTCTTCTTCTGCCTAGTAAAGTTTCAAATCTGTATTAAGTCAAGGTTCAGTTGTAAATTTTTGGAACCACCACCATAATGTTTTGTTCAGAGTTATAAACATTTCAGAGTCACGGCTAGCCTCCATCCCCGAGGGGTTTGTTACTCTGGGGTTCTACTGGATTTGCTGATCCACTCGTCCAGACTGCGGCTATGTGAAGATTGAATATGGTTATAGAATCATAGAATATTAAGGATGGAAGAGACCTCAGGAGGTCATCTAGTCCAACCCCCTGCTCAAAGCAGGACCAACACCAACTAAATCATCCCAGGACCAACACCAACTAAATTATCTGTGTTTCCGGCACAGAGGCAGCCAACAAGGTGAAGCTGTTCCTCATTCCTTTAGTCCTTGGCACATGCACGCAGTCAGACGGTGCATAAACCGGCTGCACTACACAGGGCCTGCCTGAAAGCCCAGAACTCCACAGCGGGCCCAGGGGACAGGTGTCAGGCCATGAAGGAAAATGAATGTTTCAGGGCTGTGAAGCCTTCGGAGAGTGAAGGAAAAGCAGTCCAGTGTCTGCTTTTCACCAGGGAAGTGGCAAGTCTGGTGGTTAGTGCGGGAAAGTTTTGCTAGACACTGCTTGCTAGTGGGAATCTTGAGGGTCCGCAGTTCCCTTCCACCAAGGGATGCTGCTGCGTGCATGTGGGTAGAGAGCAACACTGCCAGGCACGTGACTGTACATCGTCCGCTGCCCACCCCCACACAATCCCAGCCACCTTCGAGGTGGCTGGAGGAATGAGGCAGCTGTGACTGGAGCGTAGAGACAGCTTCTCTGTGCCAGAGAGCTGTCCCAGCCTGGCTGTATTTCTTTAGGGAGGTGTACAGAACTCACACAGCTCACTTGTACAGTCATTAAACAACCAAAATAACCCCTAAGGACCAAAGATTTGAATTGTGGGTTAAACCACAGAGCCCCACCCCTGCTGAAGCAGACTCCCAGGCTGGGGGTTCTCATTACAGCTTTTAATCTCTGGAGGCTCCGCCCAAATATCAGGCGAGTGCCTCCAAGGGGGTAACTAGGCAGTGACCCACCCTTCGGAGGATGGGAGAGAACAGCGTTTCAGCCAGACGCAAAGCCGTTTTGTACCTTTCGCTGCTTCCTCCAGCAGGGCCTGGGAAATGTAGCTAATGCTCTTCAGGTACTCCACGTAGGCCTCCTATCGACCAGAAAGGACAGAGAAGGCGGGGCTCAGGAGCAGCCGGTTCGACTAAATTCACCTGTACCAAGCACCATCCGCCCACCCATTCACCCAGAAATCAGAGCCACAGAACCTGCAGGCCTGACCCACTGTGCAGCCGACCCCGCAGCTGAAGCGCATCAAAGGAACCCAGAGAGTGAGGGGGGGGCCTCTTTTGGGAGAAAGGCTGGGGGAGGTGGTGAGTCCCCACACCCCAGTCTCACAGGGTTCTGTACAGCGCCAGCACTGTGGAATCTAAGGATTCACTCCCCCCGGTTCCGAGAGCCCCTTGCGTGGTCACGCCTTACACCAGCCCCCCGGCGCTAGGAGCACGCCGCGTCCTGCAGCAGGCACCCGAGAGAAGCGGAGACGCAGACCCGGTCATCCATCCACACGCCCTGTACAGGCCAACACAGAGACCGGACAGCGAGTGCCCACGGGCAGGCCCGTGCAGGCCCCAGACCTGGGCGCAGGGTCTGCTCCCAGGAGAGGCCTTGGCAATTCTGCACCCCCCGCCTAGCAAGAGGTCACCAGCTAAGGGCTGTTGTAGGAACCTGGGGCCCTGCCCCTCCCGGCTGCCAACACAACCAGGCCCAGGCGCCCCCCCGCGCGGAAGGAAAAGCCCCGTCCAGCCCCCGGCGCAATCACGGGTGGGAAGAGCCCCGCGCTGTGTCGTGGGCCTCGCCCCCCAGCCCGGACACGGGGGGGCCGTGGACCAGCACCGCCCCCAGCCGCGTGCCAGCGCTGGGCACAAGGCCGCCCCCACGCGGGACACAGCGGGGCCCACGCGCGGGACACGGGGGGCGCCGCCCAGCCCCGCTCACCCGCGGCCGGTTCCCGGTGTCCAGCTCGATCGCCGCGGCCGCCAGCTTCATGGCGCTTTGCAGCGGCTTCACCGCCCCGTCCCCGCCGGCGGCCATGGCGGGCCGGGGCCGGGGCCGGGCCGGGCCCCTCCGCGCTCGGAGCCCGCCGGGCCGGGGCAGGGGCAGGGGCTGAGCCGCAGCTGCAAGCAGCGACCATGCTGCTACTGCGCATGCTCAGTGACGCCTCCTGCCAGGCTCGCCAGGCCGGGAGGGGGCTCGTGGCGGCCGGGCTGGTCCGTGCAGCGCCGGGCACCTCTGCGGGGCAGCTAGCGCTGAGCGGCCGGGCTGGAGACCGGCCGGTCCGAGCTGTGCCAGGGCTGGCCCCTCAGGGGACCCGCGCGGCTTTCCTTGGGGAGCCGTCTAGGTCGCCCGACCGGCGGGGCTGGGGCTTCCCTTTCCCCTGAGCCCGCGGCGGCTACCCAGACTGCACCGTGCGGCCGTGTCCGAGCACCCCACAGACCCCCGTGGGCTTATCCGTGCAGCCCTCCTCCGCCCCCTTGGGTAGTGACCGATCAGGAGCCCCGTTCCGCAAGAGGGGAAACCGAGGCACGGATCCGTGGAAGGACTCGCCCACGTTCAGGAGTCTGCAGCAGAGCCAGGACAAGAAGCCCAGTACCCACACGCCAGACCAAAAAGCTTTTTGTTAGTTCAAAGACCATCTGAAAAACTATTATTAAATCCACCCCCCTCCTTTGGTTCTTTGCAAGAGCGTGCTGGGCACCCCGGACAAACACGGGGAGCTGGTCCCTGCCTCAGGGCGTGGACAGACCCCGGGGGCCCGGTCAGGGGTCCGGAGGCAGGCGGGTAAAAGGCTCCGTCCACCTTTCCAGAAGCGCCCAGGCGGAAGGGAGGCCCCGGGCCCGCGGCGGCAGCTGGTAACCGGAGGAAGGGGCTGTACAGGGGCGAGGGGGCGCTCAGCGGAACGCCCCTCCACGCAGGACACGCCAGCCGGCTGCGGGGAGGGAGAACTCAGCCGCGGGCGCCCGCGGGCGGAAGGGTCGGCTCAGGTCTCCGAGTCCAAGGCGGGCCCGAGCCCAGCGCGCGGTGGGCGCCCCCCGGCCACAGCACACGCCAGCTCAAACCGCTGCCCCGCGGGGGCCGTGCGTGGGGCGCGCGCCAATCCCGCAGGATCCACCTTGTCGTGGGCGGAAATCCCTCGCCCTCGGGGTGGCCGAGATAAGCGACCGAATGCGGCGGCCGCCCCCTGGGCCCCCCCCCGGGCTGGCGGCACGAGGACGGGTGGGGCGCGGGGCCGGGACACGCGTGGGGCGGGGCTCGGCTGCGCTCGGCTCCTCCGGGCCGCCAGGGGCCGCTGTGCGCCGCCGCGGCCCCCGCCAGCCCCAGCGCCGAGGCGGGAGGCGCCCGCAGCGGGCCCTGGGCGGCGGCGATGAAGCGGGATCGGCGCGGCCGGTTCCTGTCCCTCGCCGGCGGGCGCAGGCCGGAGCCCCGGGCGGGGAGCGGGCGGCGGGGCCGCGCTGCCCGGGAGGCGGCGGCGGCGGCCGGGGCGGGGCCGGGGGCGCGCGGGGCCCCGGCGCCGCCCGAGCCGGAGGACGGCGCCGAGGAGGCAGGTGGGTGCCGGCGGGGCAGGGACCGGACCGGACCGGACCGGACCCGCGCCCCTCCCCCACCCCGGGCCTGAGCCCTGGGGCCCCCGCGGGCAGGGGGGGCCGGTCTCCGGGCCGCCTCTGGACAGTCTGGCCCCGCCCGTCACCGTGGCCTCTGAGCCCTCCCGTGCCCGGCCCGGCCGGCCCTGCTTCCGTCCACGCCCCGGAGCGAGCCGGCGGGCGAGGAGGGCCCGGCCCCAGGGCGCAGGAGGCCTTGGGGCAGGCCCCGCTAGCCCCGCAGGGTGGCCCGGGGTCGGGTGTGCGGGTCCGCGGGCGGGGCGCGGAGTTGGCAGGGCCCGGAGGAGTGGGGAGAGGGGCCGGGGCCGGGGCCGGGCCGTCCCGGGAGCAGCAGCCCTGCGCCTGGGCCCTGCGAGGCAGCCGGAGCTCGGGGCGGCGGGGCCCGGGCTCCTTCGCCCAGGAAACGCGGTTTCTGCTAGCAGGGGGGGAGCCGTGGGCAACTGTCAATCCAGCCCCGACAACAGGCGCCGAAAGCGGCAGGAAACCCGTCACCTGTCCCTTCTCCTCCTAAGAGACGTGCTTGGGGCCCGTCTGAGAAGAGGTTTGGAGGGGTTTATCTGCTGGCAGGGTGACACTCCTTAGTGGAAGAAGAGAGAAAAATGGGGGAAATATCAGTGCCTGGTCCAGATTGTGGGATTAGAAATCTGCCGGAAAAAAGCAGCGTTAGGAAGTTGTCTGTTCAAGTGAAATGTAGAGTCTGCACTAAGTCACGGCCACTTATTTGTCTGACAGAATACAATGAGCTTGTTGGGGCACAGGCTGTCTAAACCTTTCAGCCTTTAAAGATGCCCCCGCCCCTTATCCGATGGATATGAAAGCAGCTACGCGAGCTAGGATACACATTACAAGTGTTACCAGCGCCGTGCTTCCAGGCGGGAGCTGGTGCTCGCTACAGGGGGGAAGTACGAGCTCTCCCTGCCAGCGCACTCTGCTAAGCCTGTGGAAGAGAGGGAGGGTTGTTCTGAAGTACCAGCGTAGTGGACGCCATAGACAAGTGGCCTTGGAGAATGCACTGATTCTGTACCAGCTTGTATATATTTGTGCGTGCTGAACAGCTACATTGTTTGTTTGAAGGGGAAACATTTTTTTCAAAGCAGAGACAGTTACACATGAAGTCAAGTTGCAACATTTGTAATATAACTAATGATAAAACCCTGCCAAAAGCCGTCAGTAGTGTCTGAGCTTTCTCCTGCCTGTAAAGACACTCCGAATTGAGCAGGGAGGGCTTTTACTACCATGTGCTGCTCCCCATCTGCAGAGCATTGTGCAGTTCAAGGCAGTCATCTCTTCAGTGCAGACGTGGGTGAGGGGAATGGGCTAGGTTACTGCTTGGATTCCCTGGTATCAGAAGGGATTGCAGCTCCCACCTGTCCCCCTCCTAGCGTTCATTGGTACATACTGCCCTCCCCGTACAAAACCCCCGAGCCTGGGAAACGACTGTGCACTCAGCTGAGCATGGTGGGGGCTTTGGGGCAGGAGGAGAAGCTGTAGTGCAGGGAGGGTGTAGGGAGGCCAAGGTTAAGGCTGACCAGTTGGGGAAGGTCCATGGGCTTTTCTGGTTCTGGCTGGATGACATCGCTGTTGCACTGACATTAACCCAGTTTTCCACAAATGCCTTTAATAGGGTTCTGGACACTGACATTATTGACATGTCAAGTGGGCTAAGCACAGCTGTTAACTTTAAGAGGGTGGCTAGGGCCTGAGTGATCAGTGCTTGGTTTCTGTACCTACTGCACACTGGGGGCTGTGCATTGTGAAGCTTTAAGATTTGAAATGTTGCACTGGCTTCTCAGAGGCATGTGCTGTAGGGTCAGTGGGCAGAAATTTCTTATGTGTTCCCTTGCTGGGTCAGGTGTCGGGCAAGCCCATGTGGACAGAAGTCAGTCAGTGGTCTGTATGCAGCTGGGGAATAAGTGGATACAGTGGCATCGTAGTCACCCACCCCCTGGAGGAGTTAGTTTTTGAGAGAGACTTGTCACTGCTGCTGCCAGTTAGTAACTGTCACTTTGTGTAAGGGCAGAACTGAAATCCTCTTTACAGGGTAGTTCAGCAGGAGTGCAGTAGGCTGCCATGGGAGGGTCGGAGAGTCACACTTGGGCATGGTGCTGGGCCAGCAGGCTGCTCAGTCCTTAGGCAGGCGGGGTGTGTTACTTTGAAGTAATCCCTTGTGGGTTGACAAACTCTAGAGGGGGAGGTTTGTGTCCCATCATGCTGCTTAATCCCATTTCACTGGTGCCCTTGCTTGTCCTGAACACAGGTTTACACAGCAATGGTTGCTGGCTTCTCCAATGCAGCTGTTCCTTTAACTCCTCAGGCATGACTACCTTGATGTTGGGCTGGAGTGAAGGAGTGCCCGGGTTGCTCTGCACCCAAGACTCTTGAGGCAGTGCACTGGCTTAGAGTGAAGTCATAGGTGTTCGCACAGTACAAATGTTGCACAACAAAGGGCCACAACCATGTCTGGCCTGTTGTGTTAGGTGCTGTACAAACACACAACAGTCCCTGTACATTTGTAAGAACTGACTTATTTTCATCCTTCCTTCTTACTTAGGAATCGGTAGAGCCCTGAGCACAGGGTATTGCCGACTCTGCCATGGGAAGTTTTCCTCCCGGAGCTTGCGGAATGCTTTCGGGAAGGTCCCTGTAACAGGAGAGAACTCAGAGAAGCAGCGACGTGTGGATCAAGTGTTCTTCACAGATTTTCAGCGACTGGTCGGGGTAGCAGTCCGACAAGATCCTGCTCTGCCGCAATATGTCTGCAAGAAATGCCATGCCCAGTTTTACAAATGTCGCAGCATCCTCAAAACATTTATTCAGAGGGTGAATGCGTCTCCCACCGGCCATATAAAGTCAAAAGGAAAGTATGTGTTGAGCTTTTTTATTCCCGTTCATTTTTTAAGTCATAAATTTCTGTATATTTGTATATGTTAGTTTACTTGTGGAATTTCCAGGCACTGAACTCCCTGGACAGTATGTATTTTTAGCAGCTGTAAACAGCTAATGGCTGAATCTGTTTTCTCTGTAGGCAGCATGTGATCCTTTAGCTGCTACTGCCACGTTTAGATACCTTAGTGTTGTTACTGCCCTGTCTCTAGCTGCTACTGTGTTCCTGACTTGCTGTCTCCCTAGAAGAGATTCTTCATGTGCTGCTTTGTCTTGTGTGTAGGAGCGGTGATGTGCAGCCACAGCCAGATACAGAAGCCCCCTGTTTGGGTAAGCGCAGTACAGAATTACTTGGAACTATTTTTTGTTTGTTCTGTGATACTGTCGAAGAAGGGTTTGGGGTTTTCAACTGGACACTCAGAGGAGACGCCACTAACTTGAAATCTGATCATTTAAAGAAGTTCCCTTCTGTTCCTTTAGTGCATTTGACAGTTGTGTGTGTCTAGCCAGTGTCACTTCTTCGTGGTCCTTTGTACTTCCTGGGTCGTGCAGTGCTCTGGGATCTCGCCTGTTCACTCTCCTAGCAGGTTCCACACAAGGGGGTTTCCAGGA